TCTTTCAAATAAATAAAATATTTTTTTAAAGAAAAGAAACCTGAGGGAATGTCTGTGATGCAGTTGTAAGTGAAAATGTACAAATAGGTAAATATGTAAACGTATGGATTAGAACCAGTAAATGAAAATATCTTTGGTGTGGTGGCAACTGATTATATTTCAAATGTCCTGCAATTTTTATACCATCTTTTGAATACATCAACAAAAAGAAAGAAAATGAAAATTTTCTTTCATAGAGTCTCTCCAGACTCTATGAGGAAAGGCAGGGAGTCGTCCTTGCTATGTTGTTGATGGGTGGGCATGAGTCAGTGTGTAGCTCATGTGCACATAGAGAGGCTGCAGAGAAAAGTCGCAGAATCAGAGTCAGGCAAACAACTGTTGAACTAGAATCCTGCTTCTTCTACTTGTTTGCTGTGTGGCCTGGGGCAAGCTGTTGACAGATGTAATCCCTTTGTGATTTGTGAAGTGGATGTGATAACTGAACCAATTTCACAGGGTACTGGGAATAGCTATTCAGATAAAATACATGGCATAGGGCCAAGCACACTGAAAAATCATTCAGTAAATGCCTGTGTGTGCTGTTACTAATGATGATGATGGCGGTGGTCATTTAAAAGGTGCTGCTCAAATGACACTATCTCTATACGTGAAGCCAACTACAAATAATGAAAGGTCCTTTATGTATATATGTATGTAACTGAAAAGCAGAGAGACAGAGATGTTCTAACCACTGGTTCACGCTTCTAAATGCCCACAACAGCCAGGGCCAGGTCAGGCTGAAGCTGGGAGACAGAAACTCAATTTGGTCTCTCATATGGGTGGCAGGGACCCACTTCTTAAGCCATTACCTGCTACATCCCAGGGTTGAATTAGGAGGAAGCTGGAATTCAGAGTGTGCTGGGACTCAAACCCAATATGGGATGTGGGAGTCCAGAGCAGCATCTTAGCTGCTATGCCAAACACCTACCCCTATTTATTTTTTATTGACACATAATAATAATTATATATATTATATATTGGTTACAATATGATGTTTTGTGAGGTGTACATGTTGTGAAAGGATCAAATCTGGCAAATTAACATACCTTAATTATTTATCATTTCTTTGTGGTGAAAATGGTTAAAATTCTTTTAGCTATTTTGAAACATACAATATATTATTATTAACTAACCATGAAAGTTATTGTTTCTGCACTTTTATAATACACTTTATTTTCTAGGAGTTTTAAGTTCACAAAAAACTCAGTGAAAAATTATAATGATGTCCAATATATTCCCTGCCCCTAATGTAGGCACAGCCTCCTCCACTATCAAAATCCCACATAACAGGCAGGCATTTGGCTCGGCAGTTAAGATGCTGGTTAAGATTCCTGTCTTACCTCTGGTCCCTGGGTTCAATTCTCCATTCCAGCTCCTGACTCCAGCTTCCTGCTGATGCAGACCTTGGGAGCCAGCAGTAAAAGCTCAAGTAATTGGGTTCCTGCCATCTATGTGGGAGACCTGGATGGAGTTCCCTGCTCAAGGTTTTGGCCCCAGCCCAGCTTTGACTGCTGCAGGGGTTTGGAAAAATGAGCCAGCAGCTGGGAGTGCTCTTTATTTATCTCTCAAGCAACAACAGCAGCAACAGAAATCCCACACCAGAGTGGTACACTTGTTACAAACTGGACCTACGTGGACAACATCATTATCATTCAAGGTCCATGGTTTACCATAGGGTCCATTCTTGGTATTGCAGATTCCACAGGTTTAGACAAAATGAACAATGATGTACATTCATCATTATAGTATCATACAGAGTAGTTTCACTCCCTTAAAAATTCTCTCTGCTTTCTCTACAACCCCTAGCAACCACTTGTCACTTTTATACTCTCCATAGTTTTGCCTTTTCCAGAATTGTAGAATACGTAGCCTTTTCAGCTTGCCTTCTTTCTTGGAAAGTATTTTTTACAACCAGTCTTGAGGATTAAGGGTTTTGAAATTCTACTAGATAATGTGGAAATAATTACTAACAATGATTGTGTTAGATTCTTGATACATATTATCTTATCCATAAGATAAGTATTATTATGCTTGTTAAACCAAGGAAGTGCCAAAGCTCACATCAGTAAGTGGCAGAGCTAGTATCTGAATCTAGTTTGTTTGATTCCAATGTCCTTATCTTTCTATTAGGCCAGCTTTTTTCCCCCTAAGTCAGATCCTGGAGCATCTGACACTTAGCCATAGGAATTGTCAGAGGAAGCACGCTGGCCAAAGTACATCTCCAATGACACGCACACTAGTCGTCAGACAATAGCACTCTGGTGGAACACCTGCTTTGTGCTGGATTCTACTGCCAGATGCAAGCAGGAGAACTCGGTCAGTGTACTGAGGAGCAAAATTAGGTGGGCCTCTGCAGTGCTTCTTAACATTCTGCATGAGCCCTTCCTGAGGGAGCCTCTTTAGATGTTGTCTTCCTAATCACTCCCCACCCTCATTAATTTTAATTCTAGATAGACTATATTTGCTTCTGTATTATAACCCTTTGGCAGGACAAAATTGATTAGAATAACTAGGAGGTTTTGGCCTCCAAGAAGCTATGTTCACCCCCTTGAGGGCTATATTACTCCTACAGAGACTGTGTCCCTAGTTGCATGTGGCCAGAGCTTAGAGATTAATGGGGCTGAAAGCCATGGAGGTGAGACCAGGACCTTCATAAGTACCAAAGTGGCTCTACTGAGACCACGTCCAAGATTCCATGTGACTCAAGGAGTTGTCCAAAGTGGGGGAGAGGCAGGGAGAGCATGGTGGCTAGGAAACTAGCATGAGTATCATTTTACTAAGTGTTGTAGGAAACGTAAGATTACGAAGGCCTCCAAATTCTGTCTCATAGAGAATTCTCATGGAGGTGCTGCTCTGTGGCATAGTGGGTTAAGCTGCTGTCAGCAACATTGGCATCCCATATGGGCACCAATTCAAGTCCTGGCTGTCCCACCTCCAACCTGGCTCCCTGCTAATGCGCCTTGGAAAGCAGCAGAAGATGGACCAAGTCCCTGGGCCCCCTACATGGAGCTCCTGGCTTCAGTCTGGCCCAGTCCTGGCTGTTGTGGCTGCTTAGGGAGTGAACCAGAGGGTGGAAGACTTTTCTGTCTCTTTGCCTCTGCCTCTCCCTGCATCTTTCAAATGAATAAATGAGTTTGTTTTTTTTTTTTTTTTTTAAGAGAAAGATAAAAAGCTCTCATGGAGGCTGGCAATTTGTGGGTGTGGACTTTGATTCTCAACATCAAAGGCTGTTAAATGGCACATCTTCAGTAACTTAGTGATTTTATTAAAATTTTTTAAAGATTTATTTATTTATTTGAAAGCAAGAGTTACACAGAGAGAGGCGAGGCAGAGAGAGAAACGTCTTCCATCTGCTGATTCACTCCCCAGTTGACCACAACAGCCAGAGCTGCGCCGATCCAAAGCCTCCTCCGGGTCTCCCACGTGGGTGCAGGGACCCAAGGACTTAGGCCATCTTCCACTGCCTTTCCAGGCCACAGCAGAGAGCTGGATCAGAAGTGGAGCAGCCAGGCCTCGAACCAGCGCCTGTATGGGATGCCGGCACTTTAGGCCAGGGTGTTAACCCGCTGTGCCATAGCGCCAGCCCTGTAACTTAGTGATTTTAAGATCTTTTCTAATAGTCCAAACTCCAGAGAAGTGGTAGGCCTCCAGAGGTTAAAGGTATCCTCCATCACTGGTTGGAGTCCTGACATTACACTATGGCTTTACAGAGTCTGCTGTGAGTTGAAGATAATAACAGGCCTTATTTACCATGTACAAGCCAGAAATTGTGCTCAACATATTGGTGGACTTTTTAATTTACCCTTCACAACAGTCTTACCAAGTAGGTGTGATCATTTCTGAGGCTAGCAACTTGTTCAAGATCACACAGCTGGTAACTGGAAGTACCAGCTTTAAATCCAGACAGTCTGGCTTCAGAGTCTTGGTGCTTTACCAGCATGCTAAGGTGCCCCATGGCCATGATAATGTTGTTGTGAGGCTTAGATAAAATATCCCATTAATATGTTCAGCACAGGACCATCATCTTCCCCACTCTACTTGCCTGGATAATCTCTCTGACCCAACTTGGGTCTGCTCCCCATAATTAGAAGAACTGAAAATCTGTCATGTCACTCTCATGCTTATAGCCCTTGAGTGGCTCCCTGGGAGCCCGCAGGTGAAGTGCCAACTGTGTATCATGCCTTCGTTATCTAGCCAGCTGCAATCTGCAGCTGCTACCCGGCCTGCTCGTCTGTTCCCACTCTGCTGCTCAGTCTCTGCCTGTTCCTGTACACAATGCACCTTTGCTAAACTGAGCTCCTGACTCTGGACCTTGGTAATGCTTTCCCTCTTCTTAGAAACTTCCCTTCTCTTGGACCCAGCATTGTGGAGTAGTGGGTGAAGCCAGCTACTGAGACACTGGCATCCCATATAGGGGCCAATTGGCTGCTTCTCTTTCTCTCTCTCTCTCTCTCTTTCTTTCTTTCTCTCTCTCTCTCTCTCTCTCTCTCTTTCTTTTTGACATGCAGAGTTAGACAGTGAGAGAGAGGTCTTCCTTTTTCTGTTGGTTTACCAACAGATTGGCGTGCCGCGCCAATCTGAAGCCAGGAGCAGGAGCTTCCTCCTGGTCTCCCATGCGGGTGCAGGGCCCAAGCACTTGGGCCATCCTCCACTGCCTTCCTGGGCCACAGCAGAGAGCTGGACTGGAAGAGAAGCAACCAGGACAGGATCCGGCACCCCGACCAGGACTAGAACCCGGGGTGCCGCGCCATAGGCGGAGGATTAGCCCAGTGAGCTGTGGCACCAGCCAGCTGCTTCACTTTTAATCCAGCTCCCTGGTAATGTCCCTGGGAAAAAAGCAGCAGAGGATGGCCCAAGTTCATGGGTACCTGCACATATGTGGGAGACCCGGATAAAGCTTCTGGCTCCTGGCTTCAGTCTGGCTTAGCCCTGGCTGTTGTGGCCATTTGGAGAGTGATGGATGTAAGATCTCTCTCTCTCTCTCTCTAACTCTGCCTTTCTAGTAAATAAAATGGACCTTTTTTTTTTTTTTTTTTTTTAAAGAAACTTCCCTTCTCTTTACCTTCAACAACTAAATGCTCTTCATCTCTTGAGTCTCTGCTCAGGTATCACTTCCTCTGTCTGACCTCATAGGCCCCCAACTCTGGATACAGCAGGAGCATTCTGGCCTCGTCAGGTGCCCATGGAACATTGTCCTCCTGTACTTGGCTTCATTTATACCAGGGCTGGAGACAGCATCAGTATGGTGGGCATCCACAATAGTTTCTAATACAAGCCAGGCACTCAGTGAGTGACCTCACGGATATTACCTCCCACAATCCTCTTGTATTACATAGGTACACAGGAGGAAACTGAGCTTCAAGGAAGGTAAGCGACTTGCTCAGTGTCCCTCACAGGTAAATAGTCGAGTGTGGTGCTTGAACCTAAATCTGTGCAAATTCAGAGCCTGTGCCTTCCACCTGTACATAAGAGCACCTCTAAGAACACTACTACAGTGTCTGGTTTCCTGAGAAACAGAAATTATTTAGCTAGAAGCACAGATGATCAAGGAGAAACATGACAGCTACAGCACTCAGTCAGTGGAAAGGTCACTGCAGACGCTAAGGCAAGCCGATGACTCAAGAGAATAAGAAAGTCCTGAAAAGGAGAAGGGAGCCCTTGATGGGAAAGGCCCATGTGTCCAGTCATCTATGAGCCCCCGACAGTGTCTGCACAGAGGAGGGGCCTCTGGAAATGGAAGCAAATAGAGCTGCCCAACTGTAGGAAAACAGAACGCTCCACAAGACACTGAGGTCCCCATCGGCACTGCCCAGGCTGGGGTTGGCTGGCCACCTGCCAGAGCACCAAGGGAGATGCCAGAGCAGGGACTCTGCACATTCTGCAGCCTCAAGCTAGAGGCCTCTGAAGCCCCGGCCCCACAAGGATTCCACAGCGACTGGTCTGAGTCTCTGCCTTGACGTTGACCAGCCCCACAGCACCGGCCACTGACCACTGCACTGACCTCTGAAAGCAGAGAACATGAGTGGACCAGACTTCTGCGCTTCCAGAACCCAAACTTCCACCACTTCCTGCCAGCCACATCCGGAGGAGTGAGACACGATCCCCTGTAACTCTGGGAGCTAGAGACTGCCTGCTCGTGTCCCAAAGGCTGATCTGGAGCTACAGACATTTAAGTCACTCAGGGAGAGAGGAGCTGCCTGTGCCTTTCAGCGAGTGTCACGGGATCTGAAAGAGGAAAGGAACACTGCTTCCTAGCAGGTGGTGAAGACAAAGGTCAAGGTCAACAATGAACGTGTGACAGTCATTTGCTGAAAGGAACCCAAGAGGCCCTGCAGAATGTGCACAGGTACACCATTGTTCCTCACACGCACGGCCCTGTCACCCCGTGCTGAGACCAGGTAAACCCTCAGGGAGCCCCTCGTCCTCACAGAGCCCCTCAGGGAGCCCCTCGTCCTCACAGAGCCCCACAGAGCCCCGGCAGAAGCAAGTGCTTTCTGCCCAGCTGTCCTGGAGCGCTCACACGGCGACAAGAGGACATCCGCTTAGGCTGTCAGACCTTCAGGTTCCTCCTTCAGACACCCGCGCGCGCCCCTAATAAGAACAGCACCTGCTGGAGGCCACCAGGCCTCTAGTGAGGGCCACCTTAGTTGTGTGGCCAGCTGCAGCTTTAGCCAGCACACCATACACAGCCATCTCCAGTAAATGAGCCCAACCTCACTTCCTGTGCAACTGTCGAACAAACTAATTAGCTGAGTGCAAAGTTCCTGCCCTCATCCTCAGGCCTCAGAGACCTGCCTGGGCCAACTTCAGCACTGCACACGGTTCTTCCACTCTTTCTTTCCATAGTCCACCCTTCCATCTGCCACTTGCTTCTCTAACTTAGAGACGAGCTTTCCAGGCTGCATCTCCAGCCAGAGCTTCAGGGAAGCCGCCTGAAACCCCTCCTCCCTGCCTCTAAAGAAACAGCGGTCGGAGGTAGCACAGTAATGAAGTACGCTGAGGCCAGCACACAGAAAGGAGTGTCTTCCACGCCTCACAGAGGCTGAAATCCCACCTCCACCAGGAAACCAGAGCCGCTGGGTCAGCGTCAGGAACCGGAACTTAACAACTGGGTTCCCTGGTAATTCTTACCAAAACCACTGTCTTAACAGCTTGCTGGCACTCTCCCTCTTCCACTGCATCCAGTGACAAGTTCCTTTTAAGCAAAGTGTGTTGACTGAAAGGTACTAAGTGGGGTTTGAGATCGATGTGAAGTTCCCAGGCCACGCCTGCATAGATGGATGTCGCCCACTGGAAGGCAGACACGGACACTGCACACACAGCGCCAGGACAGAGGGACACAGAGGCAGAAGCTACTCACAGAGACAGACGTCCGCCAGGAACACGATGTACACTAGCAGCTCCCGCAGCGTGGTCTTCACGTACAGCTCCCGGTTCTCAGCTGTGTCCTCAGTCAGGGTGGTTCCCCAGAGTCCTGGATGGGCGCCCAGGATGCCTGAGAGCGGCGGCGCTCCCGCCACCCCCCCACCCTGTCCTGGGACTGCGCCCATGTCCACCTGAGCCCCTCGCGCCCACTGCCTCACCCCTTCACTCTGCTCACTTCGCCCTGCCCTGCTCCCTCCAGCTCCCCCAGGCAGGCAGGGTGGGCGCACTGCATCCTAGAGAACAAGGGCAGGAAAGGAGGCCCCAGGGCGGGCAGGATGTTTCTAAGGAAACATCGCACCCATGTCTTCTCTCAGTCTGGCACCCACATGCCCCTGTGGGCCCCTAGTGATGACCCTGCCAGCGTCCCCCATGCAGACTCAAGTGTGGCCTCAGCACTGGAGTAGCCAGTTCTAATCCAGGCAACTCACAAACCCCAAAGACATGCAATTTCACGTCTTCAGACCACCTCCCCCCAGGAGCTTCTGGCCACCTCTTCTCTTGCCTACAATGCCCTGAGACCCCCTCCCCCACACCACGCCCCCATACCTCTGACGGCATGGAGGACCCGCAGGCAGCAGCTGGACACCAGGGTCTTGGGAGCCTTTTCCTGGGGGCCATCCCCAGGCTTCGTGGGTTGGGGTTGGGGCGTCACTGGATTGGAGATGGTGCAAATCCTCAGTGTCCCATGAGGTGAAGGGGGACCACTATAGGCGGGGTTGTCCCAGGCTTCCCTCGCCGACTTTTGCTGCTCCTGTCCCTGGGGACTTTCTGTGGCATCCATGGGAGCAGGAGGGACCTGAACCCAGGTGCCCCTCTCACCTGGAGAAAGAGGGAGCCAAGGCCCGGCAGCCCGCCAGCACAGGGCAAGGAGAGGAGCCCGAGAGCAGCTGCTGTCACCAGCTCTGCCACCTGCCTTTGCCAGGGGATCTGTGCCCGCTGGGGAGGGAGGCGGGAGGGGCGTGAGCGTCACTCCTGCGGGGGCTCTCTCCCTCCCGCTGCTTGCAAGTCCAGGGGATGAGAGGAACGAACGGGGCACGTGGGAACTGGGAGTCAGGGCTTGAAGCCGGAAGGGAGGGGCACGTGAGGGCCGAATGGGCACTTGGGGTGGGAGGACTGGAGAAAGCCCACTGCCGGGGACGAAGGCAGAGAGAAGACAGCATGAAAGAGCGAGGGGAGGGGCCGGGCCCCGAGCCTGGGGCCTCCATTGCGGGGTCCGAGCTCATTTCCACTAGAAGCTCCTCAAAGGGCCGGCAGGGACTGGGTGGGGACAAGGCCAGGGTGAGAGACTGGAAAGTGCTGCCTCCCATTGGCTGGGCCTCCTTCGTACCTCCCTGGGGCTGACCCCCAGTGAGTAGACAAGGAGGCTCCCCTCCCCCATCCAGGCCCATGGCTGCAGAAATGGAGAGTGGCAGGGACCCCGCCTCAGGACTGAAGGAGAGGATCTGTGACCCGTGTGAGGGCTGGAAAAGGACTGCAGGGGTCCGGCTTGTGGTGTTCCTTCTTCTGACACTTGTCCTCGCATGGCTCAGGGGCAAGGCACCGCCACGGAAGGACGGATGTGCTTTAGCCCAGGGGATGCATCGGAGAGCAAAGGACGAGGACATCTGACGGGACTTCCTCGGGGGAGTCGATGTCAGGCCCGCTTGGGGCTGGCCCCTTTCCTGAGGTTCTTCTTGGCAGTGCGCCTATTCTGGGCCTGAGCACAGGCTGGAACCCTGAGAGACGTCAGGTTGATCTGTGACAGATGTCAGGAGTGGTCTGTGTGAGGGTGGGTCTGTGAGGGATGTCAGGTTGGTCTGAGAGACATCACGATTGGTCTGTGAGAGACATTAGGGTTCTTCCACAGGGAGCATCAGGCCTGTTCTTTGGGGACATCAGGTGGATGTGCTGTCTTTCCAACCTCATACCTATAAAACCCTGTTGTGAGCATTGTGTCACCATGGGATTGGCCACCACTGAGGACACCTGTGTCCCATATCCCAATCCAGTTCCCTATTAATGTACCCAAAGACCCAACCACTTGTGCCCTGCCACCCACATGGTAGACACTGGTGGAGTTTCTGGCTCCTGGCTTTGGCTGGCTCAGCACTAGATGTTGTAAATATTTGGGGAAGGAACCAGCAGATGGAAGATCAATTTTTCTCTCTAACTCTTATGATTTGTTTATTTATTTGAAAGGCAGAATTACAGAGAGGCAGAGAGAGAGAGAGACAGATCTTCCACCTGCTGGTTCACTCCCCAGATGGTCAAAGCGGCCAGAGTTGCATCAATCTGAAGCCAGGAGCCAGGAGCTTCTTCCGGGTCTCCCACATGGGTGCAGGGGCCCAAGGACTTGGGCCATCTTCTACTGCTTTCCCAGGCCTTAGCAGAAAGCTGAATCAGAAGTGGAGAAGCAGGGATTCAAATCAGTGCCCATATAGGATGCCGGCACTGCAGGCAGCAGCCTTACCAGCTCACCACAGCACTGACACCCCCCCCCCACATGCTCTCATATTTCTCTTTCTCCCTTCTTCCCTCTCCAACCCCCCTTTTTTGTTCTGCCTTTTGAATGAATGAATGAATAAATGAACAAATATTATAAACCAAAGAAAGGAAACCTTTGGGGCATGAGCCCCAAAGCATGTCCTAGCTTTGGCCTCTGGTCACCTCCTCTGCCTTAAAACAAACATGTGCTGTGCCCCAGAAAGAATCTATTCACAGGGCTGTGCTCCCTCTGCACTCCTCCATGCTTGCTGGCTGGAAGGAGATGGCCCTCTGCTGACTCCTGGCTCCCCACCCAGGGCGACTCCACTGCTGCCGTGGCCTGGTGCCTCCCTCCCCAGTGCAAGGCACCTGTCTTGAGTGTCCCTGGAAGGAATTTTGATCCCAGATAACCGAGGGCTGGACTTGGCCTCTTCATGATTAAGTGTACCCCAACTTTTGACACAGGGTTCAAAAGTGACTGTTTACCTGTCAGTCTGCTGCTCGCGTCTCCTGCCCCAGGCCCAGGCACTGCGAAGCGGAGGGACTCCCGTTAAGACTGGAGCTGAGGAACTGTCGGCGAGCCTCCCCAGGCAGCAGGGCACTCTCCAGTGCACCCGTGTTCTTTGGGAAGAAACAGGCTGAGGAGCTGGGGCAGCAGCAAGCATCCCGGGTTAAGGGAGCTGGTCTGCAAGGAAAGGGCGAGCTGCTGCCTCCTACCCAGGAGCTGTGTCATTGCCAAAGGACCCTTGGCCCGCAGAAGTGGACGCGGGAACAGGGGTGCGGAGCAGGGAGCTACAGTGTGGGCCGAGAAGCAGAGAGAGCAACAGGAGATGGTTTCTGAGTCCCTCGGGGGTCATTTGGATTCTGGAGGAGGCCCGTGAGCAGCGGGAGTCTGAGTGGACTCAGGGCAGGTCATCATGTGACGAGCTCACTCCTCCGTGCACATGGCCAGATGGCTTTCTTCACGGCCACCTTCCTGGGCCACCTCCAACTGCTGTCCCCCGCTCAGTACTGGGCTTCCACACGTGGATCGCCCTCCTGGCCTTGGGAGCACTGGTGATGTAACACGGCTTGAGAAATGTTTCCAGAAGGTGCCGGCCTTCCTGTGACAATTCAACTTACTCAAGAAGTTGCAAATGTGGACATCGAGTGGAATTTCCCAGTGATTTTGTGTCCAGTACTTCTCCACGTCCTCGGGCTCCTACCAGACTTGACTTTTCCTGTTACAAAGGGTAGCTGGCATCAGGGGTGTCCAGAGGCGCAGGCTGGCTCTTGCTCAGTTCAGCAATACCTCAGAACCTTGAACTTGAATTTTAATGGAACTCCTGGGTTTATCTGTTGGCTCAGCAACTAGTGGTGTGGGTGGGTTTTAGACCAGTTTCTGCAGTGTTGAGAACAGTGTCTGCTAGGCTGACCTAAAGGACTATTTTGGGATTAAAATGGTTGAACTTAGAAGTCTTTGTAAACTGTGTGTTCAAAAACACAAAACAGACTTATTTATCTTACCACAATATCCATTCTCGTGAAAAGCATTCACACATGTACACAGCAATTCACAGGTAAGGTACAGCCCTTTGTTCAGGACGTCCCTGGCACTGTCTGAGGGATGTGGGTCCCAGGATGGTCTGCATCCACCCTATTCCATTTCCAGCGACACCAACAGGAGGGAATGATGCTCCTGCAGCTAGCAAGATTATAAAAGTGATCCTTGGGGCTGGCGCTGTGGCTCAGAGGATAAAGCCCTGACCTGCGGTGCCAGCATCCCAAATGGATGCCGGTTCAAATCCCAGCTACTCCACTTCCCATCCAGCACTCGCTAATGGCCAGGGAAAGCAGCAGAAGATGGCCCAAGTCCTTGGACCCCTGCACCCATGTGGGAGACCCGGAAGAAGCTCCTGGCTCCTGGCTTCAGATTGGTGCAGCTCTGGCCGTTGCAGCCATTTGCGGAGTGAACCAGCAGAAGGAAGATCTCTGTCTCTATCTCTCTCTGTAAATCTGCCTTTCAAGTAAATACAATAAATCCTAAAAAAAAAAAAAAAAAAAGGTGGTACTTGAAGGAGAGTCCTTCTGAAACGAGGTCCATCAGAAGCAAAAGCACCTCTTCTTAAGGCGCCTGCTGAATCGGTCCCTTTGCTTCACTGGGTGAGGGTCTGGTTCGTGCCTCCCTCTAGTGCAGGCCTTAGGAGGTGGACAACCCCATTTCCGCCACCAGTGCCTTTCCTTTCCACACCATCCCTATCCCCACCAGCTCCTACTGTGTTGCCCAGGTCCACTAGACCCAAAGCCAGCAAAGACTACAGGAAGGACACCTGTGACCCACCCCCTCGCACATTCTCCTGAAGGAGACTTAGCGAATAGGATAAGTTGCCTTCCACATTCCAGACAAAGGAGCCCTGGGGCGATTCTCTTTCCAGACTCTACAGGGGACACAATCCACTCTACAGATCTTCTCTTAATCCTTTTTACCTCCATAAGCATGAACAATAGGACACATTCAACAAGCAACCATGGCTCACTTGAGCAAAGATTCTTAACAGAAGACACTGGAAATCACCATCTGTAAGAAGGAACCTTGGGTATCAGACCCTGGTCCTCATCAGAATCCACTAGTCATCTGCGTGAAAAAAAGACTAACATCTGAGTAGTCCACCTTTGGCACCACAAACACGGTGGACCTGCAGAGGACCTGAGTGTCTGAGCTCACGGAAGCCCTCTGTTTTCATGCCTGTACCTCCACAAGCCCCTGCTGCTCAACACATCAGAATGGACAAGCCAGATCCACAGAAAGTGCTAGCAAAGGAAGTTCTTTGACAGCCATCCTTAGCCCAAAACCAAGAAAAGAATGTTTTGCTGTTTCTTCAAGGACCTCAGAGACTGGAGGTAACCCACTTCCTCATCGAAATAACTCACTTTGAGCTTTTACTTCTTTCCTATCGTGTTCCCCATTTCACAGCTCCTCCTGAATACATTTGGCATCTTCATGCCTCCCAAGAGAATGTTCTGTAAATTTTTATGTATTTTCATTTATCTGAAAGAGAGACAGAGACCAAGATACATAGATATTCTCTCTGCAGGTTCACTCCCCAAATATCCATAACGGGGGCGGGGGGAGGTGGTAGGCTAGGCCAAACCCAGAACTCAGCTTGCAGCTCCCACATGGATGGCAGGGATCCAAGTACTTGAGTGATTGCCTGCTGCCTTCCAGGGTGTGCATTGCAGGGCTGGAATTGGAAGTAGAGCCAGGACTTGAACAGGGCACTCTGCTATGGGATACAGGCATCCCAAGTGGTGTCTTAACAGCTGTGTGAAAAGTTCACCCCGAGATGCTTTTTGAATGGGATCCTCAGTTTTTTTTTTTTCCAATTTCCAGGGGCCCCTCCTTGGTATCTTTGTCCATTTGTCCCTGTCTTATACAGAAGACTGAACAGCTGGAGGAAACCAGCTGTACTGAATTAGTGCGAGACCAACCAAAGTGGAGAAGTGAGTCTTCAGTTCCTGAGCCCGTGGTCAGGCCCCCTTGCTGAGTGTGGTCCACACAGCGGGGCTCATGTGCTCTGAAGCAGTCCATCAGCATTTTCACTTGTAGGCAGACTTCCAGCTGCGTCAGGCAGGGTTCCACAGCTCATGCTGAGTATCAGTCAGGCCACCTGCTGGTAGGTAGGAGGCCAGAGCTCCACGCAAGGTGGAGACAGCAGAGTAGAAAGAAAGAGGAGCCCATTGCAAAGGGAGGGGTTTGTGTGTGGTGGGGAGGGGTATCAAGAAAGGCATGAGAGGCGCCAGCACTGTGTCTTAACGGGTAAAGCCACTGCCTGCAGTGCTGACATCCCATATGGGCACTGGCTCGAGTCTTAGCTGCTCCACTTCTAATCCTACTCTCTGCTATGTCCTGGGAAGACAGTGAAAGATGCCCCAAGTCCTTAAGCCCCTGTACCCACGTGGGAGACCCAGAAGAAGCTCCTGGTTCTTGGCTTTGGATCAGCCCAGCTCCAGCCATTGCAACCATATGGGGAGTGAACCAGTGGTTGGAAGACTCTCTCTCTCTCTCTCTCTCTGTTTCCCTCTCTTTCTGCCTCTGCCTCTCTGTAACTCTGCTTTTCAAATAAATAATTTTTAAGAAAGGCATGAGAGAGAAACAGGAGGGAGGTTTAAGAGAGAGGCCTGGCGAAGAGCACCTGTGACAATACCGTTCTGACCCTCAGAGCCACTTGCCAGCATCCACTTGAGGCACAGCTGACTGAATGTCCCCAGAGGTGAGGAGGAGAGATCAGGGCAGATGGCCTGAGGCACATTCTCCCAGCATCATTGCAGGGCCTGGTCACAGTCATCCAAGGCCTCTCTTTGTCCCAGCCCAAGGGTCCCAGTACAAGAGGCACCTATTCTTCCCGCCAGGGTCCCCACCCCAGTGGGCAGTTCATTCCACAGACATTTACTGTATGGGGGGGGGGGGGCGGGGTACTGTGTTCAGCTCTAGAGAGGAAGCAGCAAACAAGCAGTCATGGCCTGCGTCGTGGAGCATGCATGCTGGTGGAGAAGACAGGTGCTGGGTAAATACTCAGGCAAGTCATTTAGGATTTGTTGTTGTACAAAGGGCTACATGGGAGAAAGACAGGGTGCTATGAAGATATCAGGCAGAGAGCTGACTTCTTGAGACCAGTGAGAAATGGAGTGATGATTTCTATCTCTACCATTTTTTTGTTATAGAAAGCTTTTATTTAATAAATATAAATTTCATAGGTACAACTTTTGGATTATTTTGGTTCTTCTCCTCATACCTGCCCTCCCACCCCCAAACTGTCCCACCTCCTACTCCCTCTCCCATCCTGCTGTTCACCAAGATTCATTTTTAATTATCTTATATATAGAAGATCAATTCTATACTAAGTTTGCACCCATACAGACACACAAAGTAAAGTACTATTTGAAGCCTAGTTTTACCATTAATTCTCATAGTACAACACATTAAGGACAGAGATCCTACATGGGGAGCAAGTGCACAGTGACTCCTGTTGTTGATTTAGCAGCTGACACTCTTATTTATGACGTCAGTAATCACCTGAGGCTCTTGTCATGAGCTGCCAAGGCTATGGAAGCCTCTTGAGTTCACAAACTCTGACATTAGACAAGGCCATAATCAAAATAGAAGTTCTTTCCTCCCTTTAGAGAAAGGTATCTCTTTCTCTTATGGCCCCTTCTTTACACCGGGTTCTCACTCACAGAAATTGTTCATGTAGGTTATTCTTTGCCATAGTGTCTTGGCTCTCCATGCCTGGAATGCTCTCATGGGGTTTTTAGCCAGATCTGAATGCCTAAGGCTGATTCTGAGGCCAGAGCAATGTTTAGGGCATTTGCCATTCTTTGAGTCTGCTGTGTGGGCTGCTTCTCATGTTGGATCACTCTCTCCTTTTTAATTCTATCAATTATTATAGCAGACACTTGGTCTTATTTATGTGATCCCTTTGACACTTAATCCTATCTTTATGATCATAAGAACTTAAGCTGATCACTTTAACTAGTAAGATGGCATTGGTACCTGCCAACTTAATGGGATTTGTAGTCCCATGGCAAGTTTTTAGCTTTACCCTTAGGTGTAAGTCTGAGAGAATGTGTGACAAACTGTACATCTCCTCCCTCTCTTATTTTTAACAGGTATCAATTTTCAATTGGATTTAAACACCTAAGAATGACTCTGTGTTAAGTTCTCTATCATTTCTTATCTGTGCAGCATACTAGACTGTCTGAAATGCAAAAGTATTTCACTGTTAATAAGCTCAGAGGAACAGACCAAATTAAAAGACCAAGCAAAGGAAAGCTAGGCTACTTGTAAGGGATGGTAAGACTCCCAGTGATCTTGAGCCCTCATGCTCATGTGCTCTCTTGGTCTCTGGAATTGAGCTGAGTTGGAATCCATGCACAGACATTTTCCATAGGACATGGAACCCAAACATGGCCTCATTCCTGAAATGGGTTAGTCTTTCAAGTTGGGAAAGGAGGTGAACATGAATAAGACAGCTTGTGTAGATATTGAAACTAGAAATGGGTAAAAAGTTTCCTCAAGAGGAATTCAGAAGCAAGAGGGAATTTGCACTTCATTCCCTTGGTCATGTAATCCCAAGTCCATCAGTCTATCCCGGTATTTCCATCATCATTACTGATAACAGTTTTTGAAAAAAGGAAGCTTAATACTCAACAGTAGAAAAGATTAAATAAGTTATGGTACACTGGGGCCAGCGCTGTGGTGTAGTGGGTTAAGCTGCTGTCTGCAGTGCCAGCATTCCATATGGGTGCTGGTTTGAGACCCCGCTGCTCCACTTCTGATCCAGCTCTCTGCTGTGGCTGGGAAAGCATAGAAGATGGCCCAAGTCCTTGGGCCAAGATGTAAGTGGGAGACCCGGAGGAAGCTCCTGGCTCCTGGCTTTGGATCAGTACAGCTCCGGCTGTTGTGGCCAACTGGGGAATGAACCAGTATATGGAAGACCTCTCTCTTTCTGCCTCTCCTTCTCTCTGTGTGTAACTCTGACTTTCAAAAAAATAAATCTTTTTAAAAAATAAGCTATGATATATTCACATGATGAATTACTGAGGGGAAATTAATATTTTTTAAAATATTTATTTATTTATTTAAAAGGCAGAGTGATAAGAGAAGGACAGACAGACAAAGACAGAGATCTTCCATCTGCTGATTTGTTCCCCAAATATCTGCAACAGCTAGGTCTGGATCAGGCTGAAGCCAGGAGCCAGACACTCCCTCCAGGTCTAACCCATTGGTTGCAGGAACCCAAGTACCTGAGCCGTCATCTGCTCTCAGGCACGGCAGCAGAAAGCTGGATCCGAGGTGAAGGCAGTACCAGATCCCAGGGACTCTGCTGTGGGATGTGAGCATGCCAAGTGGCAGCATAACTCCCCGTGCCACGCAGACATCCTGGGAAATTAGTATTTTTGTATGACATTTAGTATCATGAGAAAATGCCCCTCGCACACTGGATGAAAATGCTGGGATATACCCAATTCCGGTATAACAGAATCCAAATTTTTAAATCCTCTGGTTCTCTCTCCAAATGGCTGCAATAGCCAGGGCTGGGCTTGTTCAGAGCTGGGAGCTGGAACTCCATCTGGGTCTCCCACATAGGTGTCAGGGACCCAACTAGTTGGTCAATCGCCGGCCTGCCAGGACGCACATTAGCAGGAAGCTGGAACTGGGAGCAGAGCCTGAACTCGCACCCACGTGCTCCAGTATGGAACAGGGGCATCTCAGCTGGGAACTGCTACGTCAATGCCTGCTCCTGGGTACACTGCAGATCATCTGGGTTTTCCACAATAAATCTGAGTACTTTCATATTCTGAGAAACACAGTTACTTTTAAAAGCCACGTGTCAGTAGCTGTGTTCCTAAAGCCGTGAGCCTCATTTTCATCTCACTCAGAGAGGGCCTGGCTGCTGTCTTCCTCTCCAGCAGGGAGCCAAGGCGCTCATTTCCTGATATGGAAGTCATCGGGCAGTTGATTGCTGTATCCCCTGCTTGTGTACCGTGCTAATCACTTCTTCCTTGGAGACGGCAGCTGGGGAAGGATATGGCGGGACTGTGTGGCAAGTACGAAAACAGTCCCAGGGAGAAGCGCAGCAGCTGACAGGGTGCAGCGGAAGGAGGAAGACTGGGCCAGGAAGTGGGAAGGTCCCAAAGGGAGTCTGGAAGGGAATGGCACTGACACAGATTTCAAAAGATGGGTAATGTGTTTGGAGACAAACATAAAGACAGCTACCATTTATTAACCACGAGGGGCCACACACTTGGCAGTGCATTATCTTAGTGAACTCTCAATCTTAGGAGGATTTATCATCTCCACTTTACAGGTCAGGGCCTTGAGGATCAGGGAAACAACTTACGGTGAAACCGGGCCTCAGAACCAGGCCTGTGACTGCAGAGACCTTGGCTCCTCTGCCTTGCTCTGCAGAGAAAGTGGCATGAGCAAGGGCAGGTGGGAGGAGCGCCAAGTATCAGTGTGGAATAACAGCCCCATGTTGGCAGGAGAGGAAGCAAGCCTGCAGAGAGGGCTGGAGCAAAGCAGGAAGACCTCAGCTGCCGGAAGTCTCATCGTCAGAGAAGAGAAAGACAGGGACAGCTTCAGGACAGAGCAGTATCAATGAGACACTTTACGGGAAACTGTTGGACAAGAAGATGGGCTCCTTGGAGGGAAATGGGAGGCAAGTGCAGGGAGAGATCACGAAAGCTGGAATTATGGTGGTGAAATTAGCACTGAAGGGAAAGATAAGTGAGGTGGCCCAGAGGCAGAACCTGCTGGGATTTGCAACTAGTTGGACATAGGGTGCCAGACACAGAGAACTCCATGGTGACTCAAGGGCCTCAAACTGGACAGCCGGGAAAAGGGTCTTGCCAGAAATTGGTGGTGGTGGTGAGGATGTTGGGGGGTAGAGGATGAGAGGAACAGTTGCCAGCAGGAGGGTGACAAATTCCTCTTTAGGAATACTTGCATCGAAAAGAGTTAACAGGGAGTCAGTGCTATGAGTCGGTGAGCTAAGCCTCCACCTGAGGTGCCAGCATCCCCTTTGGGTACCATTTTGTGTCCTGGCTGCTGCACTTCTGATCCAGCTCTCTGCTATGGCCTGGGAAAGCAGTGGAAGATGGCCCAAGTGCTTGGGCCCTTGCATCCACAGGTGAGACCCAGAAGAAGTTCATGGCTCCTGGCTTCAGACTGGCCCAGCTCTGGCCATTGTGGCCATTTGGGGAGTGAACCAGTGGATGGAAGACACAATCCCCTCCACCTCTGCTCTCTGTAACTCTGCCTTTCAAATAAATAATAAAAATAAATAAGTTAAATAGAAGTGTTAATGGGACATCAGAGGACTAAAACCAGAGGGACCCTGGACAACGTGGGCTACAGCGTGAGAGGGGAGTAAAGACTGCAAAGAGTGAGGTGAGGATCTTGTTGCTGGAGGCGATTTTTGTAGCTAAAGCAACAGATGCAGTTGCTGAAGACTTGAGTGAAGAGAGGAAAGAACTTAAGGAGTTGGGGAAGGAAGAAGAGCCATAAAGGAAGGGAAGATGAGAGAGAGAAAGGGGCGTGTGTGTGTGGGAGAGAAAGAGAGACAGAGAGAGAGAGCGAGAGAGAGAAACCAAGGGTTTTCAAGGTACAGAAGTCAGAGGAGCAGGGTGTTAAGGGAAGTCGTGACTGACAGTATCAGGTGCTACTCAAAGTCAAGGCGGCTCTGATAGAGTAGAAGAAGCCTTTGGAGGTTTAGACCCAACTATCTCAGGTGACTGTGGACAGTGCGGAGGCTACAGACGTCCACACATTTGAGGGAGTGGGGGCAGATAGATGAAGAGACAGGTGGTCAGGCAATGGAGCAGACGGCTCCATTAACTGCACAAGTGATTTACTAGGGATTCACTGGGTACTTTCTGTGTGACCTTCTTGCCTGTCTGTTTGGAAATGTCCCAAGAAACTGAATCAACCAGCATCATCTTCATGAGCTAAAACCCTCGGTTCCTCCCAGCTCTTCTTATGCTGCTGATTTTAATTCGGCTCTGCTGAGGTAGGGTTCATGTACTGCACAGCTCCTCCACTCACCCTGTGCAGCGCACTGGGCCTGGGCGCATTTGCACATGTGCACAGCTACGCTGCTGACTTCACAGGAGGAGATACTGAGGTTAGGCTTGGAGGTCAGGATTCGCATTATTTGTGTTGTAAGTGGGGGTGGGAGAGGACCCCAAACACCACAAGAAATTCTCCACTCCTCCCTTCACCTGAATCACCCTTCCTGGTGAGGTCACAAAGATGTTCTGCCCCGCATGGCCACCAGGGGGCAACAGGCCCCCAGCCCAATCTCTGCCAGTAGGGAGGGAGGGCTCTTTCCTGAAAGCCAGAGGCCACTCTGGAGGGCGGTGCACTCCGGGGTCCCTGTCAGTCCAGGGACCACTGATCTCCCCTCCTCCCTCCTGGCCCCTTCCCTCTTCTCCCGGAACCTCTGAAGGCCCCGCTCTGGCCCTGTGAGCAGGTCCTACCCGCCAGGGCTTCATCTTTCCAGAGGCCTGGTAGCCTCCTGGGTGAGCCGGGGTCCTCCTAGGAGCACACACCAAGGCTGGGCCTGTGTGCAAGGAAAAGCCCATCGGGGAGCCCAGCTAGGCTGGCAGAGCCAACATCTCCCCCGAGGCAGGGAGGTTGGGTGGCTGACTGGAGATCCCCACAGGAGGGGAGAGACCTCCAGTAGTCAAAAGAGCCCTGGGGGAGTCCCAAGTCCCTCAGGAATGGGATTGTAAGCAAGCCCAGGGCTTGCAAAGCTCAGGGCTGCTCCTGGGCTGGGAGTGGCCATGGGCAGTGCAGCTCCAGGTGAATGCCTGTGCTCAATTGCTCCGCTGGGGCTGGAGGCCTGGCAGTCTCCTTCTCATGGCCTCCATGACTTCTTTGAGAGGGGGCAGCCTCAGCCCTCTTCCCTCTGGTCATTTCCTCCCCCTCCCCCCGCCCCGCCTCCTCCCACTGGCCATAGAACCGACCTCTCCAGCCCCGGAAGGGCCTCAGTGCCCCCTCGCCTGTGTGAATCCAGCTCACTCACCCGCCAGGCCCTGGCCCTGCCTTTTCCTTGCCTTGCTTTGGCTCCTCACATCTGAGCCCTAGGTCACGAAGGAGGGAACGGGATTATGGGAGTGTTGGTTTCAGCCCTGACTCACAGCCCAGGCACCAGCCTGCCCTGGCAGGAAGCTCTTGGCCAGCACCAGGCTCCATCCCTTCCCTGGGGTCCCTGTTTCCGTGGTAACCCCTCCCCTGGCTCTAGAGCTGATGGCGAGCTCCTGGTCTCAGTCAAGAGTAAGCTATGGGACAGGTAGCCGCAGCTCTGCCAGGTGGCCCCGAGTGCTTGGGTAGGGTAGCGCTTGGGGAGCAGGGAGGAAAGTGGCATTTCTGGGGTTAGCAGGGGTTTGGGAAATGGAATTCTAGGGGAAAAGCACCTGGCTCATCCTGGGGACTGCCCAGTCACTCTCTCGCTTGGGGTCTCTGTACCCACAACTGGGAGAATTGAGGTGGCACTGAGGGGCCTGTTGTGTTTGGGGCTCTGGACTTGGCTCCTCTCCTGCTGGCAGGTCCTGGGCTCAAAAGCAGGCTTGGGAGGCCTGGGGCAGCCGCTTGAAAGAGGACATGGTGAAACCAAGGATTCTGCAAGACCATGTTTGGAGCAGAAGGCACAGCAAATCTAGTGTTCCTGTGGGAAATGAGATGGAAATAACCCTGGGCTTTACCAGGGAATTTAGCCAACCCCGGGTGTGGGGGCAGCGGAGAAGTAGCCTGGGCATCCACCAAGATGACATTCATCTATGCCTCGGATGCCAAAGGCAAGGGCGAGGGCCGGCAGGGGGTCTCCTTCGTCCTTCTTGGGCAGGGAGAGATGGGGAAGGAGAGTTGGTTGAGGAGGAGAGCAGAAAGCAGAAGCCTCTATCTGACCCTCCCATCTCTCCCCTGTACAGTGGACAGAACCCCAGCTCTCAGGATTTCTTCAGCCTAGAGTGGGGCCAGGGTGGGGGTAGGCATGGCTAGTGGTGGGACAGGGAGACACAGGGCCCAGAGAGGGTCCTTTGGGCTTTGTGCTTTGCATGCTTGTTCTGTGGTGGACAGACCACTTACTAGGCAAGACGTAGGAAGCACCTGCGCACACCAGCCAGCAGCTGGGTACTGAGCCACTCTCCTCACTGCATGCCCCGCCCCATCACCCAAGGCTGCTGCAACCTTTCTGAGTCTTGCAGAGGAGAAAACAGGCAGATGAGGATCCACTGATTGTCCAAGCAGCTAGCAGAGGTCACCTAAGTAGACGCCAAAAACAACAACAACAAACCTTAAACGAAGGTCTGCAGGCCAGTCTCTTGCTTTCCTGATTGGAGGGCAGCTCTGTGGGGAGGGCCCCTGCCCCTTCCCTCACCTCCCAGCCCATTCTCATGGGACGCTGATCTCTGCCCTTGCCAGGTGCTGGCCACGGGTGTCCTGTGGTGCTCTGTCCTGTTGCTCTTAGGAATCTGTGTGCTCCTGGGGCTGACACCACAACCTGGGCCCCCGCAGAGAAGAGCTGGACTTGTTACTTGCACGAGGTGGGGGTGGGGGAGGTTCTGTCAACACTCAGTCCCCAGATGGATCTGGTGGCGCCCAGACCCAGCTTGGGAGAGACACAGGCCCTTGGCTGGGAGGAGCTCTCTCTGGGGAGTGCTTGGTTTTGCACACAGCCAGCTGCCCTCTGGACCTCATGGCTTGGCTGCTGTGTCCCTGCAAAGCCAGGGTGACATCAGGGTGGGAGAGGTTACTGTCAGGCAGAGGGAAGGCAGGGCAAGTGGGCTAGCTGCCTGCATTGCCCTGGTGCCCATGGCCTGCTGGACTCAGGGAAGTTTGCTTTGTAGGGGGAGCCTTGTGGAGAGGGCGAGGGGAGGAAGGAAGCCAGAGGGAGGGGGAAGGGCAGGAATGGCTGGGTCCCTCTCTCCCTACAGGCACTCTGGAAGGCAGCTGCAGGGTGCCAGTGGGGGGTACTCCTGGCTGTGACCACAAAGGCCAGGCTCCCACGTCCCCACCTTACTCAGAAGCTGTCAGGGAAGAAAGCCTTCCCTCCTGGCTCATTGCTTTGCTATCGGTGGCCCTGGGTTCCTTTGCCCGCTGTGTGTCCTCCCTCGATGAGGGCATGCTCAGGTGAGGGGTTGGCTTTGGGAGTGGGGTGCGAAGTTCCCATGCTGACTCCAGAGGAGGGAGGGAGTGGCTTGTGGTCTGGAAGAGCCGTCTGTGCAAGGTGAGGCCACCTCAGATACCTTTAACTCTGGCCCTGGTCTTGTCATCTGTATGTCCAGGTCTCATCTGCCCAGTCTTTAAGTGGAATCTGCAGCCCTGGCCCTGACCCTAAGCCCTTTGCCCCCTGTCTCACCTGCCCTAGGGTCAGTCAACATATTTCACACTCTGACCCTGAACCATTAACTCTTCCTGGTCACAATCACTATGTGACCTGCACAACTTCTAGTTCCCAGTTCCCTAATGACTCAGTAAAGGTTTCTCCTCTAGCACACAGCCAAGGTACTTCAAAATGCTCATGAAACATGGAATAAAATAGTTTATTTTGTTGCACAAAAGTTTTGAAATCTAAGCAAAATTTTTCATAATAATGATGCTTCTGTGAACTTTTTGAAGACCCCTTATATGGATGGATTTTAATTATTTTTTTGTGCTTGGGCCAGCGCTGTGACATAGTGGGTAAAGCTGCCACCTGCAGCGCTAGCATCCCCTATGGACACCAGTTGAAGTCCTGGCTGCTCCAGTTCTGATCCAGTTCCCTGCTCATGGCCCGGAAAGGCAGTGGAAGATGGCCCAAGTGCTTGGGCTGCTGTACCTCACCTCCTATACTGGGGAGACCTGTAAGAAGCTCCTGGCTCCTGGGTTCAGATCAGCCCAGCTCTGGCTGTTGTGGCCATTTATGGAAGGAACCAGCCGAGGTTCATTATATTATATATTCATATATATATGAATATATATATTCTTCTCTCTGTATCTACCTCTCTGTAATTCTGCCTTTCAAATAAATCAATATTAAAAAAATTTTACACGGTAATAAATTTATATTGTAATTCAATTTTCCATGAACTTTTTCAAGTATACTCATGTCTGTGCATGCAAACATGGTGCACATGAGTGGGTGTACACACACATAGAGACACGCACCATGCGCACAGGTGCACACATGTATACTCGCAGTTCTGCAGACAAAAGAGGGCTGGAGTGAGAGGGAAGTCAAGGCTCTACAGATACTGATCAGACAGGAGCTTAGCTGGGGGAGTGCTTAGGTGCCTTCTACATAAAGACCACATAGCAGAGGACCTGTGGCACCATCTCTCTAGCCTGGGGCCCAGGAGGAGTCATATCCAAGGCCAGTTAGCATCTCTTCCCATTCTCAGAGCCTCTGACCTTGTCAACAGCCCTCTTCCATATGTACCTCTACTGACCCAGGAGTCTGATCACCAGCATCTCTTCCAGGAAGTCTTCCCTGCTTCTCCCAATGTGGTCTGACCCATGCCTTTCCTGAGTCTCCAGTACGCTGTCCTGAGCTCTGTCATATACAGACATCAAGATCTCCTCTAGTACCATGAGCTGCCCAAGGTTAGGATCTCCAAAGACTGTGTCTGCACCACTGAGCCTGGGCACGTGCCTGCATCAGAACATCTGCTGAATGAACTAATGTGCCCAGGGGGTGGGAGTGAGGGCACCGCATCACTCCAGCTCCTCTGATGTCAGTGGTGCCCAGACAGGCAGGCTTCCAGAAGGGCAGAGGGGCCTGCTGCCTATGACTCAGCATGGACCACCGGACAAGAGAAGGGCCCTTAACCTGGAAGGCCCACTGCTGTGTTCTCTAGGCACAAAGAACTGGCTTGGCCAGCTGTGGGCCAGGTGCCAAGGCTGGCTTCCATCCCTTTCCCACACCGCCCTCTGTCCTGGGAAGCCTGAGAGGTTTAGGGTTGCGAGGGCAGTTTCTACAGCTCTGGCACCTCGCCCAGTGTACTGCATCACGGCTGCTTGGACCACAACGTGTCTCAGCGTGCCTGTTTACTTGAGCAAGATAACACCTTAATCTTGGATCTGAAGAATCTCAAGTGATAATGTCTGGAAGAAAGTTTTACTGAGCTGTAACTTACATATTGTAAAATTCAACCATTTAAATCACACGATTAAATGGCTTTTATAAAATACAACGGCTGTTGGTGTATTCACAAGATCATGCATCTGTCATCACCACTGATTTTGGAACAATTTCATGACCTACCCCCTGAAATGGTACACTCTCTAGCCATCTCCCTCCAATCCACCTCCTCCATTCCTGGGAAACCGCCAACGTTCTTTCTCTCTATCGCTTATTTTGGACATTTCCTGTGAGTGGAATTGTACAGTATGTGGTCCTTTGTTACTGGCTTCTTCCACTTACAATTATATTTTCAAGGTTCATTTATGTTGTCATATATGCTAGTACTTCCTTATTTTTTTAAATGAAAATAGTATTGCATCTTGTTTACCCATTAGTCAATGGAGAGATGTTTGGGTTGCTTCCACTTTTTGGCCCTTACAAATAATATTATGAATATTCACACAAACGTTTCTTGTGTAGACAAGCTTTTTCATATACCCAGGATTGGAACTGCTAGGTTGTAATATTTTGATAGGGAGAGTTGAGTGGAAGAAAGGCTTGAGGAGATGGAACGATAGCAAGAGTTATCTTTCCTTGGGGTTTTGCTAAGATCAAGGGTAGAAATCAGCAAGATTGCAAGAACAGGAAAGTATAAGTTATACTAAACAGGTGAGAATTTGGGGTAAAACAGGGTGTTCAGAGTAAAATCATGACTATCAAAATTCAGGAGCCTGGATGTAAATGAAATAACAACTTCAACTTACTATGTTACAGTGTACAAATACCATGATACATTATTTAATACTGGCAATAACCTCAAAAACATGTATCATTATTCCCAATCCACAGAAGAGAAAATCGAAGTTCAGTGACTATGTTTAGGATGTCCAATATTTCTTCCCTCCTCCCTTTTCTAATATTGCTTTATGTTGTCAAGATTGCATAAATAAATAAGTTTATATCCTAATTATGTACATCACTACAGCATGAACACTTTCCTATGTCATTAGAAACACTTCTTAATATTTTGTTTCTGTTGGCTGCATTAAATATACATGTATGCAATATACATTGTGAAATATTTTTGCAGTGTATCTGATATGACTGTATCAGTTCGTCCTGTAAATTTTGTAGTATACTTAATTACATTATTTTTTAGCATTATAATGGGATGGAGACTGTGTGTGTGAGTTATTTTATCTTCCTACCAGCAATTTAAAGAATGATTATCTAATCTCACCCTACTATTTTCATCTTTAATAGTGAACAATTATATATTTCTTCTTTAATACTTGGTAAAATTTAATTTTTCAAGTATTTCTTAAATATTTATTTACTTATTTGAGAGGCAGAGTTATAGAGAGAGAGAGAGAGGTCTTCCACCTGTTTTCACTCCCCAAATGGCTACAATGGCTGGAGCTGGGCCAGTTTGAAGGCAGGAGCCATGAGCTTCATCCAGGTCTCCCACGTGGGTGCAGAGGCCCAAGGACTTGGGCCATCCTCCATTGCTTTTCCAAACCATTAGCAGAGAACTGGATTGGAAGTGGAGCAGGTGGGACTTGAACCAGTACACAAACGGGATGCGAGTGCCACAGGCAGAGGCTAAACCAACTATGCCACAGCACTGGCCACTTAAGTACTTCTTTGCCATCTATATTTTCTTCTTTTATAAAGTGCCTATTTGATTCTCTTGTTCTTTTTTTTCATACTGAGCTTGTTATGTTTATCAATCTGCAAAAGCCCTTTTGTATGTAAAGACTATGAAAAATTTGCTTTCATAATTGGCGGGAGTTTGTCTCTCTTGCATCACTAGTTTGCTTGACCAGGTAATGAGCTTAGAATTCGGATCTGTGCTGCTTTGATGATTGTCACTGGAGGGTCAGAGTGTGACCAGGGCCCCAAGAAAGGAGGTGACCTCTGCCCCAAATGGAAACAAACTCCCAGTTAGAGAAACAGAATGAAAATACTCTCGACTGACTGCTCTGAGGGGAGATTCATCCCCGCAGGTGTTAGCATTTCTAGATTTTTCATGCTAATAAAGGAGAGAGCAGGGGAGGTTAAAATATATGCCACATGGGCGCCGCCGCAGATCACTAGGCTAATCCTCTGCCTGCAGCGCCAGCACCCCTGGTTCTAGTCCTGGTTGGGGTGCCGGATTCTGCCCCAGTTGCTCCTCTTCCAATCCAGCTCTCTGCTGTGGCCCAGTCTTGTCTGGGATCAGATTTAAACCACGTCCATCAAACAATCCTCACAAGGGTCCAGAGACCCCCCCCCTCATTTCCTCTCCTCTATGAAATCCTTTCATTACCTGGTTAATGCCACTCTTAGGATCATTGGTTGCTATTCTCTCCCTGACTTGTATACTACAGTGTCTGTTTAAGTGTTTACAGCAGGTGATAATGGAATGAACCAAGGCCTTCAGCAACCAGGCAGTCAACCAGATGCTTTTCCACCTATACATGCCTGTCCCTGCGGAACCCCCAGATACCCACAGTGGGCCCCTGTAGACAATGTCCCCAGTCAGCAGGAAGTAGCCAGAGAGACTCATCGTCGCCCCCTTTCCTATCATAAAAAGGTCGGGATGGTAGCTTTGGGATCTGCAAGGAGGGAAGGCCTACACTTCCGGGAATGGAAAGTTCCTACCTGTACTTGCTGGGAAGAAAAGTCCTTGTCAAGGTCCCTGCAGGTGCCTAAAGGTCAACCAATGAGGATCAGACCCGCCTCAACCTTTAACTCACATGCCCTGAATCTATAAAAGGAGCTCTCCCAATCTCTGACGCACGACTTCCCTGCCCCCCACTCTGTTGCTCTGTTGGGACCGGGGAACCTCGCCCGGGAGCGGAACCCCAATAAAAGCCTGTGAATTAATTGATTCGTCTGCCTGGGAAGATTTGTTACGCGCCAGACACCTTGCACTGAGATCTGCCCACGGCTTCTCTTTCCAGTGGGTTCAGGGAGAGCCCATCTCACGGAGTCACGGGGGGCTGCAACAAAATCTCCCAAGACCTGCAGGCTCCTCTCATTCCACACCCAGTCCTCTCCCCTGCTGCTGGGCGGTCCCGCGACTGGGCGTCCTGCCTGTCTCCAGGAAGAGGCGCCCAACATTCCCCGGACAAGCTGAAGGTGTTCCAACAAGTCCTGCACAGTTGTTGGGTGGCTCGGGGAGGCGCCTGCCCCACAGTGCCGGCGTATTGCGTACAGAAGCACAGAGGCAGCGCGGGTCTCAGTGCCGGGCTTTGGAGGTGCGCCGGCTCTCTGGGCTCTGAGGACCTTGTCACAGTGGTGGGCGGGCCCGAACCCCTTCCCCCAACCCCCACCCCAGCACCAAGTCCCCGAACTAGCTGTGGAGTGACGCTTAGTGGCAGCAGCCTATGGGCGAGCGTCTTTCCCCCAAGCGTATCTTCCCCAGCGCCTGGGGAATGGGAAGGCTGAATGGGAAGCAGGGAGCAGTGGGCGCCTCGGCTCTTCCTGGGTACTTCCCGCGCACCTCCCCGACCCAACCATTCGAGGGGCCGCAAGGGTCCTGGGCTCTGACCCACCCCCATTGTAGAACTCGATGCTCTCCATCTTGCAAGAGAGAAAGCTTCCGAATGCCTCGGAAGCCGCGGGGTGCCGGGCTGAGTCCCAGCGGTCGGGTCGGTCGGTTGCTGGAAGGGGCCAAGAAGGAGAAAAGCAGGGGAGGGGGAGCGCGGCGCAGGCGGCGAGGGGGAACAGCAGATTGCGCGGAGCCAATGGCAACGGCGGCCGAGGTGGCACCAAATTCCCTTCGGCCAATGACGCGCCAGAGTGTACTGAAGCCTCATTAGCATTTCCCCAGGGGCAGAGGCTGGGGCAGGGGCCAGGGCCGTGGGTGATGGTGTCTGCAGCATCCCTAAGTCCTGTCTTGGTCGATGTCCGCCTCAGCTTTCTGTCTCCTCCCTTGTCCCGCCCTCACCTTCACGCGAGGCTGCCTGAGCCAGCCAGTTCTGTGCACCTTGACCCTTGTTGGCAGCTCATACAAGGTGTCTGAGGAAATCGCGACAGGGTCACCCACTGCCAGCTCTGGCCTTTAAATCCCCAGCGCAGGGAGATCCACCACAGCAGGGTTGGGCCCAGCCACCGCACCACCGCGCGTGCCAGGCAGAGAAGGGTTCCGAGTGCATTGCTGCGAATTGCTGCGCACGAGCGGGCTGCAGAACAGAAGTCTACTTCTGTCCTGACAGGGGTCCCGAACTCAGTTCTGCAGTCTCAGCCTTGGGAAAGTGAGCCCAGCACCTGAGAGCCAAGATGCCGGCCCACTTGCTGCAGGAGAAGGTGAGCTCCCAAGCGATGGCCCCGCACCCTGGCTGGGAGAGAGCCTCCAGCGGACTGGTAGGTGGAGGGCAGGACCCAGAGCTCCTGGAAGGACTGGGCCATCCTGTTTCAGTTGCAGATTTTGTACTTTGGGAACTTGATTCCCAACTGTTGTTTCTTAATCTGTTTTTAAAAAATTATGACAATTTTCCTTATAGATGGAATGGGCTCTTATTTCACTTAAGGGATAGAGTAACTTCCATTCCCCAAAAATAGAATAAAATCTTTGGCCAATAGCAAGACAGTGGGCTTTTTAAGCTTGGAACAAGAAAACAGAATAAGAACAATAATAATAATATAAAAGCTGACTGGCTAACAGATTACTTCAGGTTACTGTTTTTGTAGGAGTTAAAGCAGAAAGGACTTCCTTGTTACTGATTCAACAGACTGCAATCTACTGTTTCCAGGAGAAAAGTGCTCTGTTTGGGGATCTTTCTGCTTCCTTAAAATTCTGATTTGATTATGTGACATTTAAAGCATGTGTGCCTCCATTTTTGCTTGGTCAGATTTGTTGGAGCCTAATGCAGGAGAGCTCTGTCCAAAACAATGGTCTCCCATAATTGCTGCTTTATAGTCCCTTGCTCTGCTCCCGTCAGGCTCTCACTCAAGTGACACTGTGTCCAAAACTCAGGGCATTTGCACTACTCTCCGGTACTACCATTTTGGACTTCCATTCTCAACATTCATAGGTTACAGTGTCCTCATGATCATGCATTTCTTTGAGCTCTTGCCATTTTAGCTAGAGACCATCTGACATTTCAACAGATGGCTGCATACAAACATTTGAAACTCTTCAGAGAAAAAAGTGCTCCAGAGAAACTACTATTATGCTTATAAAGAGGAGTCTGGAGCTCATTTATTAGCCAGGGTCACTATGAACCAAATCAGCTAAAATAGAACATATCAAAGAATGAGCCAGATGAGGAGGCTACCCACTGTAACCAAGCATCCTGTTTAATTTTTTGCAACCGAGTCTACAATACCTATGTGTTTATCTATTCGCAATAAGAAGTGACAGCAAGTGCAGACTCCTTTCTCTTCGAATAGCGTGTATTGATTCTATTATCTAGCACATCATGACTGGGTTTCATTAAAACAGGAGTGGGAACAAGTGGGTTTTGAAGTCTCACACTATAAAATGGACTACTAGTGCAAAGTGAACAACAGTTGCATTAGGGATGTTGCTAAAGGTAGCCACTGGGCGGATTAAAGGATCTATCTCTCAGGACGTGGAAAGACTTGAGTCTGACATGAATGATCCAACACTCCGTTATGTTGCCACAGCAGGTACTGATTACAGCACGGTCCTGGCAAATGAAAAGAGGTGGGCATAAGCAAGGAAAAATGAAGAGCATTAAGAGTCTTATTAAGATGGAGAATCTTACTGCAGTGTCTAGGGAAAAGCTAACCATAGCAGAAAGTCATTACCTTCTCATCCTGGTGCCATGGGTATTTTAGTGAATACTCTACATGGCTCACACATCAGGCACGAGGGCTGTCTGTTGACATTTACCTCAAGTTGTCCAGCACCAGCTTATAGCACTTCGGGACCAGAGCAGCTCTTGTTCTTAGTGATTTCATAGGAGAAAACTAGACTGGAGAATCCTAAAGAACAATGAACAATGCTGTAACAGACATACTATAGTTTTTCTTCAAAATGCCTTTCTTTTCTCTTCATTGGTTGCTCTACCAAAAATAGAGCCACACTCATCTGTTTACAAAATAAGTTTAGTCTCATCAAAGATGGTCTGATTATTTATATACAAGTGCAAGAATACTGCTTGACCACATAAGCTTTTTTAAAATTTTGCTTTGCTGGGAATTTTGATAGGAATCTCAAACGGGACTTCTGAAAACTTCTCAAGGCCAAGAAGTCCAATCAAGGCAGACTTCAGCCTTTGCAGCACACACAGAGATTCAGTCTATAGATATCTGCAAATATGACATCCCAGTTTAAGCTTTAGTAACAAAACCAGTATTTCCAATTATACCTGTTATAAAGAGCAGATACTTATTGAGCCTATGCAAATAACCATATTAAAATAAGTTGGTTAGTTTCTGAATTCTGAAGGGTTCAGGTATAGAGAAAAATATTTCCATTTTTTTTCACAAAAGTATACTTTAGCAATTGCTGTAAGCTATAGATAATTTAAAAGAAAAATTATCTTTAGTTTGAAAAATAAAACATGTAAAGGATTGGCAAAAATTCAAATAAAAAATCAATTCAAATAAAAAACTATGGCCGGCGCCGCGGCTCACTAGGCTAATCCTCCGCCTAGCGGCGCCGGCACACCGGGTTCTAGTCCCGGTTGGGGCGCCGGATTCTGTCCCGGTTGCCCCTCTTCCAGGCCAGCTCTCTGCTGTGGCCAGGGAGTGCAGTGGAGGATGGCCCAGGTGCTTGGGCCCTGCACCCCATGGGAGACCAGGAAAAGCACCTGGCTCCTGGCTCCTGCCATCGGATCAGCGCGGTGCACCGGCCGCAGCGCGCCGGCCGCGGCGGCCATTGGAGGGTGAACCAACGGCAAAGGAAGACCTTTCTCTCTGTCTCTCTCTCTCACTGTCCACTCTGCCTGTCCAAAAAACAAACAAACAAACAAACAAAAAAAAAAAAAACTATCCTAATCAGTTTATCCAGTAACATTTAATTAATCCTTGTTCTGCTTAATCTTGGTTAGGAGTTTCATGAAGTTATCAGTTTCTTCATTAGGTTTCTGGAAATTCTTACCCAGTCCAGTGGTTTATACACTTAAAGTTATCAGAAACCTATATTTCAGTCTTTTCCATGAATTTCCTTGAAGAAACAATTTTGAACTGTAGCTGATTGCAAACACTTTTGGAGAAGAATCAAAGCAACAACTATAGGTAACAAAACTTAGAATGGTCATACTTAAAAATTGGATAAGAAGTAGCAAAGAAGTTCGGTTATTTCTTAAGACACACGACTTTTTAAATTTAATAATAACTGAAATTATGACTTGTAACATTATATTTCTGGAAACCTCATACAAGTTTTAGAATACTTGTATCAATAACATATCTATAAATATAACTTTTAAAAATATTTATTTATTTACTTGAAAGAGTTCCACAGAGAGAGGAGAGGCAGAGAGAGAGAGAATGAGGTCTTCCATCCTTTGTTTCATACCACAATTGGCCACAACAGCCGGATCTGCACCCATCCAAAGCCAGGAGCCAGAAGCTTCTTCTGGGTTTCCTACACGGGCGCAAGGGCCCAAAGACTTGGGTCATCTTCCACTGCTTTCCCAGGCTACAGCAGAGAGCTGGATTGGAAGTGGAGTAGCCAGGACTTGAACCAGCGCTCATATGGGATGCCAGCACTGGAGGCGGCGGCTTTACCTGCTATGTCACAGCGCTGGCCTCATAAATATAAGTTAAAGAATACTTACTGTCACTTATTTGACAATGTTTCGCACATAATTTGAATATTCAATAAGCCAAAAATAGTTTAATATCTACCTATTGCAAGATGAGACATATCCTTCAAAGTTTTCCACAGACCCATCTGAAGAATTCCAAAAATTTAAGGTCTAAAAGTCCTAATTCAGAATTTGATTTTGAGAAGTTTTTCAAAGGTGTTGAAATAAAAAAATTTTAAATGACCCTGATTATCTATTTGGTCAAAATGACAATAAAAGTATTTAAAGGCAAATTCCAAAGGTGATGTAGGTTTGAATAAAAGCTTAACTCTTTCAATATTGAGACAACTCACTTTTCTTAAGTAATCAAGGACCTAAGAAGCACAAGAAATTCCTTTGATAATTCAGAATCTCTGTTTTTTAGGCCATTTACCTAAAAGATAAAGACAGACCTTTCCCCATATCTTATCAAGAGCACAATGAATTCTAGTTTTACCTCAGTGTGCTTTTGTTATTGATGTACAATCTTTTAAATAATGTAGAAATAATTCCCCTCCAATTTTAGACAGCTTGATCAAACATAAATTTCTTTTTCTACCTAAGCCCTCTACAATCTTCTTTTTTTTTATTTGACAGAGTTAGACAGTGAGAGAGACAGAGAGAAAGGTCTGCCTTCCGTTGGTTCACCCCCCAAATGGCCACTATGGCTGGAGCTATGCTGATCCGAGGCCAGGAGCCAGGTGCCTCCTCCTGGTTTCCCATTCGGGTGCAGGGGCCCAAGGACTTGGGCCATCCTCCACTGCCTTCCTGGGCCACAGCAGAGAGCTGGACTGGAAGAGGAGCAACCAGGACTGGAACCCAGTACCCATATGGGATGCTGGGGCCGCAGGCGGAGGATTAGCCAAGTGAGCCATGGCACCAGCCCCAAACTTCTTATAATCTTTCAGTTATTTGTCCTATACTTTTCCTCTTTCTCAAATTGGAATAGCCAGGTATTCAATTTAAGGACAAACATCACTGTTTTTCCCTTAATGAAATCACATATTTCACATAGGTTTCTCTTACCAAAACATGTCTTATTTTTCTTGCATACGGAGTTGTTTCCCTTATTATTTCTGGTTTATGATACTTTATATTAGTTAGAACATTTTATGCAATGTAACTTTATTTCTAGTGAAAACTATCAAGCATTGTAAATGTATTTTATCTGAGCACTTGTCATTTCATAATTTCTAAAGGCATGTGTTACCTTAATTTTTCATTTATAGTAACAGATCCAAATATATTTAGCTAATCTATACCTTTTAAAAACAAGATGCCAAGATACATATAAACTAATTGTTAGCATTTAATGTTTTATTATTTTAACTTGCTTAGAAATGACTCAGACATTTCATGGGTATCTATTACTAGACTTCACACATAACTTCAATATTCTTAGTTGCTGAAAAGGTATTTGAAACGATGAAAACTTCATTTTTGTAACTTTTATTTAGCAAATATAAATTTCCAAAGCACAGCTTATGGATCACAATGGCTTTTTCCTCCCCGTAACTTCCCTCCTGCCCGCAACCCTCCCAACTCCTGCTCCCTCTCCCATTCCATTCACATCAAGATTCATTTTCAATTCTCTTTATATACAGAAGATCAATTTAGTATATATTAAGTAAAGATTTCAACAGTTTGAACCCACACTAATTATAGCATTAATTTACATTGAACAACACATTAAGGACAGAGATCCTACATGAGGAGTAAGTGCACAGTGACTCCTGTTGTTGACGTAACAAATTGACACTCTTGTTTATGGTGTCAGTAATCTCCCTATGCTCTTGTCATGAGTTGCCAAGGCTATGGAAGCCTTTTGAGTTCACCAACTTCGATCTTATTTAGACAAGGTCATAGTCAAAGTGGAGGTTCACTCCTCCCTTCAGAGAAAGGTACCTCCTTCTTTGATGGCCCATTCTTTCTACTGGGATCTCTCGCAGAGATCTTTCATTTAGGTAGGGTTTTTTTTTTTTTTTTTTTTTTATTCCTCTCCGCCAGAGTGTCTTGGCTTTCCATGCCTAAAATACTCTCATGGGCTCTTCAGCCAGATCCGAATGCCTTAAGGGCTGATTCTGAGGCTAGAGTGCTGTTTAGGACATCTGCCATTCTATGAGTCTTTCATCCTTCACCATTGTGTTTGAATTATTTGATGGAAATATTATTTGATGGAAATTATTTGATGGAAAACAAACCATCATCTTAAACTATTTTATTTCTTAAAAACATTTTTCCAGAAAGTTCTGCCTTTTATTTTCTTATTTATTTATTTGAATGGGGGTAGGGATCTTATATGCTGGTTCACTCCCCAAATGCCCACAATAACCAGGGCTTGGCCAGACTGAAACTGGGAGCTGGGAACTCATTCCAAGTGTCCTACGGGGTGGCAGGGACCCAAATATTTGAATCATTACCTGCTGCCTCCCAGATTGCACATAAGCAAGAAGCTGGAATTGGAAGTGGAGCTGGGACTCAAACCCAGGCACTCTGATATGGTATTGTGGGCATCCCACATGAGGTCTCAACTGCTGCACCAAACACTCACTCGTTAGGTTATTTTTTGACAAATCAGGCAAGTGTCAAAAATGCACAGAAACAAGGGAACCAAAGCTTAACATGGTGTCCCCCATCTTACTACTTGAACGACTGACATGCACTGAGTAACTATTTGCACTGTGTATTCTGCTCGTGGGTTGGAGCTATAGTTTTATCAACTTAAATATTTATGAGATAACAACTTGTTTGACTAGTAAATCTAGGTTAAGAAATGTATGCTAGCATTACAATTAATGCTGACAACTCTAGAGACATTTCTATTTTTATTTTATCAAAAATTTTAAAACTAGCTTTTTTTTCCAAAGATTATGTCAGATTACATGAACTAAATAAAAAGGCATTTAAGTTAGTTTCTGAGACTACTCATTTAAGTGTTTTAATTTCTGTAAGGCAGTTAAATGGAGCTCTTTTTGAATTTTGCCATTATCATCCAAGGTAGGAAAATGTCACATATACTTGACATATAATGTACGTGTATACAGACAAAAACACACAGGCAGAAGCAGAGCTGCAGTTTTCATTTGCCACTTTCCAAATAGTTTCCATTCCCCTTTCAGCCTATCAATCTTTCAATTTCCTCTTCTATTTTCCTAAGCAATTATTACGAGGTCACTCTAAATTTGCATTTCCAATGTGTTGATGCTTTGGTGGAAAATGGAGTCTCAAAAGCATGGAAAAAGAATGCAAGTTTTCTTCACAAAAGAGATTAAGGCATGTTGCCTATTATCAGAGGTCAGCTTTCTAGAGGCTATGGTCTAAACCTCAGGTCCAAATGTTTCCAAAGCTCATCTGGGTAGACAAACGTTCATTTCTGCTAAAACTGAATCTGATGCCTTTCCTTCTAACTGCTCTTGGGGTTTCTCTCTGGAAAGTGGCTATAAACTCTAACCCTGCCCTTGCCATCCTATCAAGCTGGCTATTCCCTAGGAGAGGCGGGATCAAGAAAATTAGGAGCCAGTGAGAAACCGAGGCAGCTCAGAAATGATGCCACAGCAACACAAAAGCACAGAAATTCACTACACAACTTCACAAGATGGTACGCAGATGAGCCTCGCCAAACTGGTAGAATGCCTGCAAGTCTTGTGTTGGAGAACAATAGCTTTTCAGTTGAGCTTCTGTTTCTCACCTGAATGACTGAGATCAGGGCAGACAAGCATTTTCCATGCCTGCCTGGAATTAGCATGGATAATTCTGAAAAAGAACCATATCTCGAGTTGGGGCCTAATATTTATAAACACTTTATACAGCCATCCTTTTGACTTCAGATAAGGTAGTAAATAGACAAAAAAAAAGTGAGGTTTTTTTTTTTTTTTTGAATCAGCTAGACCCTTAAACTTTTCATTTGCCTTTCATAGAGTCTTTTAAAGAGACAATGTTTTTTTGTTTGTTTGTTTGTTTATTTTTGACAGGCAGAGTGGACAGTGAGAGAGACAGAGAGAAAGGTCTTCCTTTATCGTTGGTTGACCCTCCAATGGCCGCCGCGGCCAGTATGCTGGGGCCAGCGCACCCCCCTAATCAGAAGCCAGGAGTCAGTGCTTCTCCTGGTCTACCACGTGGGTGCAGGGCCCAAGCACTTGAGCCATCCTCCACTGCACTCCTGGACCATAGTAGAGAGCTGAACTGGAAGAGGAGCAACCGGGACAGAATCCGGCACCCTGACTGGGACTAGAAACCAGGGTGCCAGCGCTGCAGGTGGAGGATTAGCCTATTGAGCCTTGGGGCCAGCCTTTTTTTGCATTTTTAAAGAAACTCCTGCATATCAATAGGTATCCATAGGTGAGTCTAATCCAAGATTCTTCACTTTGAAAAAATATTATTTCAGCGGCAGAGAGAGAGAGAGCGAGCGCCCATCTGCTGGTTCACTACCCAAATGCCTGCAATGGCTGAGGAGCTGAAGTTGGAAGCAGGAACACAATCCAGGTTTCCCACATGGTGGTAGGAACCCAATTACTTGAGCCATCACCTGCTGCCTTCCAGGGTCTAGACAAGCAGGAAGCTGGAGTCAGGAGCTGGAGATCGGCATCAAACCCAGGCATTCTGATGTGAGACAAGAATGTCCTAACTGCTAGGCCAAATGCAAGATCCTTCATTTTTAAATGCACTTCTTTGAATGCTCTACTGTTTTTGTGGGAATTTCCACAGACTAGGCATCATGACTCTGAATTATCATTAATAAGATTTCACCATGTTTACAAGTCTTTTCAGCTTCGGGCGCTAATGCTTCTATGTGTAAAAGCTTGGTTCAGCCAGAAGGTGGAGAACTCAATTCTTCAGAGATGAAGGATCCCATTTCACTTGAGCTCTTGTGTTTCTCAGAGCTGAGGTAAAAGCCCGAGAGGGAGAAGGCACGGGCTGAGTCGTGTGGTGCTTTCACAGTGCTCTGTCACCACACGGATGTTGTCAGGCCCTCTCACAGCACTCTTTTTTTATTTACATAAATGTATCTTTTATTCCAGTTTTTCCACAAACTCAGAACATTTTGTAAGTTTTTTGTTTGTTTGTTTGTTTGTATGTTTGAGAGGCAGAGAGAGAGAGACAGGGCTCCTATTTACCAGTTCACTCCCCAAAATCTGGCAATTCCCAGGGCTAGGCCAGTGCTACAGCCAAGAGCCAAGAGCCAAGAATGGTTCCCCACCCGGGTGGCAGGAATCCAATCACTGGAGCCATCATGCTGCCTCTCAGGGACTTGGATTGGCAGAAAGCTGGAGTCAGTAGCTGGAGCCAGGAATCAAACCCAGGAACTTGAGTATCTTAGCTGCTCGGTGAAATGCCTGCCCTGGCCCAGCAGTTGTCACTTTTCATGGCGTGTACTACACTGGCTCTTCAATGCTTGAACCATGCCCCCCAGCAAGTGGTGGCTCTGAGACCTCTATGGCCAACTTAGCCAATGATTTTTCCCTTACTCAAATACACAGGAAAGAGCAACAAACAGGCTAGAACACAAATGCTCCTAGGGACTTATGAAAGCTGGGGTTCATACCCCCTGCAGTAAAGTAGGCCTCCTTCTCTAAAGTGCTGTTTTCCATGGTTTCAGTTACCTGTGGTCAACTGACTGCAATCAAAAAAAAAAAAAAAAAAAAGGGAAAATTCCAGAAATAAACAAGTCATAAGTTTCACATTGTCTGCCATTCTGAGTAGTGGTAAAAGATCTCACTGTGCGGGTCCCACCGACCTACACTCACCTTGTATCTGCCACCCACCTGAGCGGTTGTCAGAGTGTCCTGACGTGGCGGCACTGCATATGCGGTTTGCTGCTGTCTGTGGTTCCAGGCATCCCCTGTGCCCCTTCCTGCCGGTTCTTACCTGACTCAGAACCCGAGGCTTCCTTAGAGGATACTGTCACTGCCTGTCACGACTGCTGCTCTTGCCCAGAGCATCTTCAGCTCTGCGAAGCCCCACAGGCCAGATGTGCTCTCACTGTACCAACCAACCCTCGGCCCCCACTCCAAGGTCAGGGGCTTTTCCACAGCACAAACTAACTCTGGATTCAAAAGCGAAAAAAAAGGGGGGGGGGCAGGGCAGTGGCTCAGTGGGAAGAGCAGTCTACCTCGTGAGCACTTCCAGTCCTTGGGGCCTCTCCCATGCCCTTTAGGTTCATCTGCCCACTGCTAGGACTGTCAAGAGACAAAATGACCATTCGTTTAGAGACCTGACTGACTCTGACTTGTGATTGCTAAATTGGGCCCGCCTCTCTCCTACTGAGCAGAATGCAAGCCCTCTCTGGGAGAACACTGCATTTTGTGAGGTGGGAACAGGAAACAGAATAGAAAAAATAAAAAACCTAATTAGTTAACATCTGCTTATTTTCTGAAAGGGTTACAGCAGAGAGGACACTGGAATTTGCTGTTTTCAAGGAAAATGGGTCTGTTTGGGGATCTATCTGCTTCCTTGAGTTTTCCTTTGGATTACGTGGGCTTTGGCATCAGAAACTGCATTTTGGTGCAGTGTCCTCTGTCGGGACCTAGTGCAGAACGCAGCCCAGTGAGTCTGGCCTACCAGCAGCCCCAACACTGCGGCTTTCCAGGTGCTGCATGTTCTTCCAAGTGACTGGGGTTGGGGTAAGGCAGAACTGAGAACTCCCCAGAGAACTTGACTACCTTTGTTGAGATGTGTTGCCTTCAATTGGTAAAAACGAGGATTGCTCTATGGGGACTGGATTCCCCTATATTTGTTTCTTAGGTTTTAAAGTCAAGAAAAACTTGGTCCTTGTGTGTTCACAACAGTGCAAATGCTTCAACTCTCCTTCCTATCCCCTTCACCACTAGATTTCACCCCAACCCCCCTGCACAGTTCCTGGGAACCTGTGGCTCCTGCACGTGGACACAGCCCACCCTCCCCAACTGTGGGTGCTGGGCCAGGGTCTGAGCCTGCCCTCCCTTCCCTTCCCTTCTCTCTCCTCCTATCCCCCTCCCCTGCTGGATTAGAGTGAAGTGGACTCTGCTGCCTCCACTGTCTCCTGCTCTGACTCTCTTCCTCTTCCCCTCCTGGCCAGGTCTCTGGCTCCTACACCCCCACCACCACCGTCACCACACCCCACTCCAGGCTCCTGCAGAGTGGAGAGGGCAAGTTGGAGAAGACGCCCCTACCGGCGGAAGAAGACATCCGCCCTGAAATGAAAGATGACATCTACGACCCCAGCTACCAGGACGAGGAGGGCCCCAGGCCCAAGCTGGAGTTCGTCTGGAGGAACATCATCCTCATGGCTCTGCTGCACGTGGGAGCCCTGTACGGGATCACCCTGGTTCCCACCTGCAAGTTCCGCACCTGGCTCTGGGGTAAGCAGCGTCCCTGCCCTCCTGAGCCCGTGTCCAGGCTTCTCACTGCTCTCAAGTGAGGCAGGATCTTACATAGAACCCTGGCCTCTCCTGGCCCTGGTTTTGCCAGGCATTTCTCTATGGTTGCCTGAGAAGTTGACTAGATTGGGAATGAAGTCTAATGGAATTAAGGATGTGTGTTAGGGAGGAGGGTTGATTCTGGAAGTCCTTTAACTTGGGTTTTCAGGAGGGAGCCCTGAGACCATGTGCCACATGACTGAAGAGTGCCAGAGTCAGAGCTGTTCCTGAGAACTTTTTTTTTTTTAAAGATTTATTTATTTTTTACTTGAAAGTCAGAGTGACACAGAGAAAGAGGTCTTGTTCACTACCCAGTTGGATGCAACGGCTGGAACTGCGCCAATCGGAAGCCAGGAGCCAGGAGCTTCTTCTGGGTCTCCCACATGGGTGCAGGGGCCCAAGAACTTAGGCTATCTTCTACTACTTTCCCAGGCCATAGCAGAGAGCTGGATGGAAAGTGGAGCAGCCAGGACTCGAACCGGCATCCATATGAGGTGCTGGCACTTCAGGCCAGGGCGTTAACCTGTTATGCCACAGCGCCGGCCCCCCTGAGAACTTTAATGTTTGAATCATGTGCATGACTCCTGTCCCAGCCCTTTTGGCCAAAAGACAATCAGTACCCCTACCTAGGAGGACTGCGACCCTGGTGGGGACCAGGGTCTTTATGGTGTATAAGGAGCTCGCTCAGGGGATGGAGCAAGGGAACACTGATCAGGAAGACCCATTGAAGAGGAGGAACAGAAGGGTGGTATCCAAAGAACTGTTTCAATCTTATCCCTTGATCCTTTACTGCAGAGAAGGATGAAGAAAGCTCCTATGTTTATGGCACACAGATGTGTTGCTCTACTGTTCTATGCCAGTCTCCAAGGTGCCACATGTGCCAGTCAACAAACTGTGAGACTGAAGTAAGAAATATGTTTCACAGTCCACTCCCCATGCAGCCTGCTCCAGCCTCCCTCTCTTGATTCCATGAAAAGCCAAAGATGCAGCATCTTCTTTGCCCAGGCCTCCTTGGTCCAGGGTCCCAATCCTTGCTTGCCAGGCCAGGGCATCAAAGTCCTGAGTACCCCAAGCCTGAGGCTGCCACAATGAGGGAGACAAATTGCAACTTGTCCTTGGCCTGCCCTTAGCTCAGCTCTTCCAAAGATGCACACACATGTGGCTGTAGGGCCTGTGCCCTAGAACCATACATGTACTTTGCAGGAGGTTTCACCTCTGCCCCCAGAACCCTCCATCTGGAAGGGGCAGCAGGGACCTCTGTAGACCCAGGGATGCCAACTGCTGCTCTCTGAGGGGCGCTGAGCCAGGAGTCCCTCTCCAGAAGACAACCTGAAGTTTTCCAGAGCAGCCTCAGGTTGGGGGCACTTTCTGACAGTGTATCTGGAAGGATAGTTCTATGGAAGGGCAGGTAGGCTACATGTAAGCCCCTTCCATAGATGTTCAGTCCAGAGTTTGACCAGGCTGTCTCTGCTTGGTCAACCCAGCTTCTAGTACAGGGACGGAAAGCTATTAGTACCATTTTGGTGCCTGCCCATGCGTGCATGCTGTGCCTTTGAACAGAGAAACAGCACAGAGCTTGTACAGTGACTTGCAGGGGGTGGCTTAGCTCAGGGAATGGCAATCTTGGTATGTGAACGTCAAAACGCCTGAGTCTTGGGGAACAAGGAGGGAAGAGGAGGAAGGCCTGAAGTTTTAGCTTAGGCATCTTCTCTTCCCACCTTAAAGGTTTAGGTGCTTGGCCCCACCTTTTCTTGTTTCATTTCCAAGGAGAATGTTAAGTTACCTACTGGCTGTGATTCTAGCATTTCTCATGATTGAAGCTATTTTGAGAGCCTTCTCTTTCATTTTGGATCCTCTCAGAAGAGTCCAGGGTTAGGGCTGAAGATTCCTGGCAACAAAGGGCCAGAGGAGGAAATCCTTTAAACCCCTTCCTCACCAGCAACCCAATTCCCAGTTAGCGATTACATCCACCACCTCCTGAGACTGCAGACCTGGAGGAAGGCAAGGCAGGCAGGCAATGCTGGGGAGCCCCACTGACAGTCTCGAGCATCTCCCAGAACGTCCAGCTTAGCACTGCTCAGCGTCTGCTGACAGCAGGACTTGGCAAAGGAGAGACCCAGAAATGTGCACAGTCTTAAGAGTGGTGGATGAAACACTCGGACAGGAACTGCTTGTGGACAGAAAACCTACCTTTAGACTGTGGCTCCATTCCTTATTAGCCATGTGACCATAAATAAACACTTAACCTCTCTGACCATTTATTTCTTCCACTGCCCAGTGAGGATATTAATACGAGCTACCCCATTCAAGGTGTGCAGTGAACTAAGGAATATTCCTTGGCAAAGCTGAAGACTGTACACAAATATAACCTCTATGCACGACTGATTTTTTTTTCCTAATATGGCCACACTGCTTGCTAAAACACTGAAATGCTTTTGTACCATTTGGTAAATAGCAGGGCTTCCCCAATTTCTGAGTCCAGTTTGTTCTGGCTCTTTTGTTAACTACCCTCTCATATGGCCTAAGCTCCACAGGAGTTGTCTGTGGCCTGATACCATATAAACCAGATGAAGGTCAAGGCCAGTAAGCCCTGGAATGATGTCCCTGCAGACAGACTGTGCTGGGTGGCTGAGTGGGGGATGGGGACAGTTCTATTCTCTCTCCTGCCTTTCCGACTCCTCAGTTCCTGTGACTTCTTAGCTTTGTCTCTAGCCCTAGGTAGAGAGGTTGGAGAGTGATAGCACTTTTCAAATGGTAAAAAACTAAAGGGCCTCAAGAGAATAAGGTGTCCCTGGAGTTTAGGGGAAAGCAGATCCTTATGTGAAGCCAAAGGAAGACAGTCTGGCATCAGAGCAGTGTCCTGGGTCTGGGACTTGCGCCAGCTGGTGACACCCCCACTCTCTTCTTCTGGCAGCATTTAGCTACTATGTGATTAGTGTTGTGGGCATCACAGCAGGAGCGCATCGCCTGTGGAGCCACCGGTCTTACAAAGCTCGGCTGCCCCTGCGCTTCTTCCTCATCATTGCCAACACCATGGCCTTCCAGGTAAGGAGCTGGCGCTGCTCAGCCCTTGCTTCTCCACCCTCTCGATGGCCTGGGAGCAGAATGGAGGGATGGGCACCTGGAGAGGAGCCACAATTTCAGCCGTGGCACTTTGCTCTCCCCTGTTTCCCTTCAAGTGCAGACTCAGTCCTGAAGTCCACAAAGCATGTGGACTGCTCTGAGTCGCTGCCCAAGGAAATGGAAGATCAGCAGGACACACTCCATGTACAGGGTTGGTGCTGTCTTGCAGTCTGTATGTTTTGGTCCTTTATCATAAAGGGCCAAGGGGCATCAGCCAGTGACTGACCCCGGATCCTGGGCAGAGAGTGGATAGTAAACATTCACTCTTTTTATTTTATTTTTTTTTTTTGACAGGCAGAGATGGACAGTGAGAGAGAGAGACAGAGACAAAGGTCTTCCTTCTACTGGTTTGCTCACCAAATGGTAGCTATGGCCGTGCGCCGCGCCGATCCGAAGCCAGGAGCTTCCTCCTGATCTCCCATGCGGGTGCAGGGGCCCAAGCACTTGGGCCATCCTCCACTGCCTTCCCAGGCCACAGCAGAGAGCTGGACTGGAAGAAGAGCAACTGGGACTAGAACCCGGTGCCCACCTGGGATGCCGGTGCCACAGGCAGAGGATTAACCAAGTGAGCCACGGCGCCGCCCCAACATTCACTCATTAAAGTGAATATCTTGGGATATCAACACCATGGGATTGATGCTGATATTTCACATACATGTGAACTCTCTTGTTTTCTGCTAAAAAGAGTCAACAGTTTTTAGTACTATGTGCCTGGCACAAGGCTGAGCAGCTGACACAGATTAACTCATGTATCACAACAATCACAGGAGGTAGAGAGGGTGATTTTCCCTGTCTTACAGATGAAGGACTTCAGTCAGGGAGAGGCTACATAGATCAAGGTTGAGGCTCTATCATGGGCTGCCATTCTGGCTAAGTCAGATACTGAGATTTGCCAAAATAAGAAGTTTGTCATTGAGACAGAAGGAAGGGAATTAGGAACAAGGAACTTTCACAACTGTTAAGACGCAACAATGGACAGAGTAGGAGTGGTATAGAGCTTGTCATGGAGGAAAGCAAAGGAAACCAAGGTAGCCCTCTTCATGATGAAAAAGCCCACTTACTTAACATATCTGCATAGTAATCTCTGCCAGGGCTGTGATGTTGTCCTTGGGAGCAAAGGAAAGGAAGAGAGAGATTAGTACCTTCTTTAAGGGATGTGGGAAGAGTCCCAGAGAAGCCCAGAGGTTCTTGGGCAATGTGGTCACAACCATGATTTACATGCCAGCCTTGGCACTGGGCTGTGTGAGCTGTCTCTTGCCACCAGAATGGAGCCCCTGCAGTTCTATCCCCTGACCAGGACCCTAGCACCACAAGGCGGCCTGCCTTGTATCCTCCAGGCCCCAGGATCAGGTGGTCCCTGAGGACCTCTTCCAACCTTCCCTGCTTGCGGAAGTGCAGTGTTCATTCCTAGTGAAACCATCTGGGCTCTGCGTGCTTCACCTCGATTCTACCCACCAGGTCACCTGCAGGGGGCACAGGCACAGCCACGTGGTCCTGGGAGCATGAGTGGCCCTTCCCCTTCCCTCAGTGGCAGGGGTGGGGCAGAGGGGAGGCGGTGCCAGGACTCCTCAGGGGCCCAGACTCCTGGGTGTTGTGAGCTGCGCCTGGAAGACACCTCTGCCGACAGTTCTCCTGAGAGGACGTCCGCTCAGGCTGCATCCCTTTCTCTGTCCCTCCAGAACGATGTGTTTGAATGGGCCCGAGACCACCGTGCCCACCACAAGTTCTCAGAAACCGACGCGGATCCTCACAATTCCCGCCGTGGCTTTTTCTTCTCGCACGTGGGCTGGCTGCTTGTGCGCAAACACCCTGCAGTCAAGCAGAAGGGCGCTCTGCTGGACTTGTCAGACCTCAAAGCCGAGAAACTGGTGATGTTCCAGAGGCGGTGAGTGAGGGGCGATGGAGCTGGGGATGTGCTCCCGGCCCCTGGAGCGTGGGGACCCCAGTTTTTCTCCAAGGGCTTGCAAGTTCAAAATCACCATTTTTAAACCCCAAACGTTAACATCCCACAGGCCCACCACCATAAACTATGGTACTGGCTCTTCCTCTCTGAGCTACCTTAATTAAACCAACTGAGTACAAGAATTCATTGACGTGGACACATTAATGACCCAAAAATGCATGTAGCTGAGTCCTCACCTTCAAGGAGTTTGTAGTCTAGGAGGGCTGGAGTGGTAAGCCGAGGTCCAAATAGCCATGGGCGCAAGGCAGAACAGTTTCTGAACCACCAGCGGCACAGAAGACGGAGAGGTGGCTTGGCGAGAACTCCAAGGGTTTATGAAGGAAGCAGGATGAGAATGCACTGGGGGACAGGGATGTTCACTAGCGTGTGTGCACAGGGACAGTGCACACAGAAAGAGGACAATGAGCTGCAGCACCCAGGTGTCCCAGCCACGGGTGCTCCTGCTTGGAGGACAGGGGGTGACAGAACCCACACTGCAGACAGATTGTGTCCCTCTTACTGGGTCCTAAAGGCAGACCTGGGCTGTGACTCAGGGCGCAACAGGAAAGCACTGACAGGTCTGAGCACAGAGCGGCAGCGTGAGGTCTGCTTCAGAAGGGCCACTCTCAGGACAGGGGCCAGAAAGCAAGGACCAGAGAGGAGAGGCAGGGACAGCAGTTAGGGGGTCAGGGGATCCACGCTGGGGAAGCAGGGGCAGGACTGGGAAGGGCGTGATGCAGTGAGGATGTGACTGCTGAAGGAGGCAGGGAATCACTCTGCCGAGTGGCAGAGGCCGGGTCCCCAGGGAGAAGGAAGAGTGGGATAGGCATCCAGATGGACACACAGGTGTTCAGGGCCACTCAGTGCCTCTCTGGGGGCAAAGAAGAGCAGAGAATTAGAGGGCGGTCACAGGAGATGGAGGCACGACTCCAAACAGGGACGTGTGCCAAAGAGCTCGATGGGCAAGAGCAAGGAGCCCAAAGGCAGATGGGCATGGGCCCAGGCTGGGGATCTCTGATCCAGAATTGGGGTTTGGATCTCAGCTGTGAACCTACCACCAGGGCCTTGTGTGCAGAGGAAAGAGGCTGTGGACTAGAGCCAGGAGGCAGGCATTCCAATCTGTGCCGTGCTGGTTCCCAGTGACCTCAGAGAAGTCCCATACCCTCCTCATCTCCCCATCCACAAAGTGAGGGCCTATCATGGCATGCCCAACAGATGCGCACCCTGTCTCACAGCAAGGGAGAAGAGGTGGCCCAGCCCAGGGAGCATGGACAGCAGGGGCAGGTCTGGATCCCCTGTGCCCCGGCTCAGCCTGTGATCTCCCCACGCAGGTACTACAAACCCGCCGTCCTGCTGATGTGCTTCATCCTGCCCACGCTCGTGCCCTGGTATTTCTGGGGTGAAACTTTTCGACACAGCTTGTACGTGGCCACTCTTCTGCGTTATGCTGTAGTGCTCAATGCCACCTGGCTGATAAATAGTGTTGCCCACATGTATGGATATCGCCCATATGACAAGAACATTGATCCCCGAGAGAATGTACTGGTTTCTCTGGGAGCTGTGGGTAAGTCAGCAGTCTATAGCAAGACCACGTCTAGTGGTCTGCTGCTTATAGTATTAGTCTTTGAACCAGAAATACAAAAGTGCATCAAAAAAAGTTCATGGGATAAAGGGGAACTTGTGTTCAGCCTAGTGGTTAAATGTGTGTGTCTCACATTTGAGTACCAAGGTGGAATTCCTGGTTCTGGTTCTTGATCCCACTTCCTGCTAATGTAGATCCTGGGAAACAGCAGTGATGGTCAATAATTGGTCTCTTGACCCCTTTTGGGAAATCTGTATGAGTTTCTGGCTGTGGACTTTAGCCCTGGCCCAGCCTGGGCCATTGTCGGTTTCTGAGGAGTGAACCAGTGGTTGGGAGCTCTATTTCTCTTTATCTCTTGTCTTTTTGTATGTCTACATGTAAAATAAATAATAAAAATTATTTTTAAAAAGCTCATGGAAATACAATTAAAAGAGTTCATGGTGGTGCAAAAAATTTTGAAGTCCATATGGAATTTTTTCATAATATGATTTTTGTAAACTTTCTAAACATCCCTTATATATACCAATTTAAAAAATTTGTACCCAAATCTCTTTTTCATTTTTCCATGAACTTTTTGAAGTCCTTTCATACCAGTACCATGTTTTTATGACCACTTTGTATATCTTTTTCTAGTATAAAAATTGTTGGGAACATATTGGAAATCCTTTATGAGAGTCAGGAAGCAAGTCTCATGTGGCAAGGAGCTGGCGAAAGCTGAACTGCTTTTGATTCCAGTCTCTAAAGCAATCTACATGCTATGCATGATGAATCCCTTGGAGCTTCTTCTTCCAGTCACCTCTGAGTGGCACTGCAGGCTTTCTGGTTCAGGGGATGCATAAACTAGAGCAGTAGTGTCACCACCATGGCTGGAATTGGCTGAAAGCTGAGTAGTTTCTATTGAAACATGTTGAACAAAATGTAGAATAACCACAATTAAGTTTGATATACTTCAGGTGTGCCTCTGCAACAGGCATTCTTTATCTCCTCACTGTGTTCAGGTGTGCCATGCCTGTAAGTGGCACTCATACCCTGTTGTTTGGTGAACAAAGGGAATCTTGCGACCTTTTCCTACCACTTCCCATCTTGTCCCCTCTTGTCCTTTCTCTCTCTCTCTTCTAGCTGTATGCTATGCTAGAAACTCCCATTCCCCCCAGACTGCTAGGGAATCCCTGATAAAGCAGTTAGTTTGACCATAATTCCTGCTTACTGATCTACTTTTGGCTATTCCTGAACTTCTCTCTGTAATTCTACTCCAAACTGCCAGGAAATAAGACAACAGGGTTCTACCAGCTTTTTTTTTTTTTTTTTTTTTCTGTCCCTCTTTTGAACTGGATACAAATTTTGACTGAGGCTTCAAATTAGATTTCTGTAAGCACAATCAGTGAACTCTTCTCACCACTGGTCAGAAGTGTTGGTCATCCAGCAACACCCAGGCAAGTACACTGCTTGCATATTAATGTACAACAAGCTCAGGGTCAGGTTCTCTCACAACAACATGTTTGATAACATGTCCCCAAGCAGGCAATCATTTCTGCAGCTGAAGACACTAGCTGGGTGTCCTGTAATTCAATTCATTTCTGACACTACCTACCTGGAGACAGCATCAGATTTCCACAGCTGAGGGCTCAGTCTACAAGACTGCCCCCACTTCAGACTTGTGACAAGTCCAGGCCTCTAGCTGATTAACTGGCTACAAAGGAGGGGTCTCATGAGTCCCTCCTTGGGCTCTATTAATTTGCCAGAGCAGTCTGTTATCAAGATACTTCAGAGGAAACCAAAAGCAGCCACGTGAAGAGATATATAGGGAGAGGTCTGGAAGAGTCACATGTGCTCATCTTTATTCCACCCATTGACCCTCCTCTGTTTTCTCTCTGCATCTGCATCTGACTGATATCTCTGGGTCAGGTGAATGCTCACTGAGAGCCTTGCTGCTGTCAGCACCCTTAGCCTTGGGCTTGCCCACCCTCTCCCCAGCTCCCACTGGAGGTGAGCAGCATCACACAGGAAGCACACACCTTGAGATGCCCTGGATGGGGTCACTGTCTTTGCAGGACATGCTGTATTGCTGGCCATCGGTGTCATTCCCTCTCTATCTGCAGTGTGTTTATCTGCACAAGGCCCAACAGCCGCTCTGTTGGCTTCCCTTTACCCTGGCCTGACAAGGGTCAGGGTGCCCTTGTTGGACGCAGCTCAGAAAGAGGGGTCCTGGCAGGAGTCGGCAACCTCTCTCTGCAGAGACTCCACAGCTTTACCTACTACAGGAATTGTCCTCAGTCCAGAGTTTCTTTTTCTCTGTCTGTCCATGTGAAACTCTTGTCCCGAGAATTCTCAGCATCTCGGAGGTCAGAGGGAATATTTCAGCAATTTGTTTCTTCTTTCCAAAGAGAATGTCTATCTTATCAGCACCACCCCCAGCCCAGTCAAAGCTGGAAGAATGAGAAGGCAGAGCGGCCCACTCTGCGCCAGCAGAGGCTGAGGAAACCGCAGCCCTGGGCTGGCCTCCTGTCCTCTATGTTTGGCCACTGCCTCCTGTTCCATTGGAAGCTCCCACCCTTATGGTGGTGCCGCTGCTGTGGGGAAGGCGGGTCCTCTGCTCACTTGTAACAGCAGAGCCCAAGTTCCTCATTCTGGACTCTCCCCTCTGCACCCCAGCACACGTACACACACAGCCTTTCAGGCCTTGAGTCAATGCTTCCTGAAGCTCTGGAGGTTGCCAGCCGACATTGCATTCTCAGCAGTAGTCCCTTCTCTGTAGTTGACTCATCTTCCAAGAAAAACTGCCAGTCTCCCTCCAATGGAAGTTCTCAGATAAGCAGAGGTGACAAGAACTTCATAAATTCTTTTTTTTTTAATTATTTGTTTTAAAATCAGATTTATAGAGAAAGGGAGAAGAGATGAGAGATTTTACATCCACTGATTCACTTCCCAGATGGCTGCAATGGGACTGGGCCAGGATGACGCCAGGAGCCAGGAGCTTCTTCCAGGTCTCCCATGTGGGTATCAAGGTCCCAGGCACTTGGGCCAGCCCTCCAATGTTTTTCCCAGACCATCAGCAGGAAGCTGGATTGGAAGTGGAGCAGGGGCATAGTGGGTGGCATCCCATGTGCGTGTTAGTTTGAGTCCCATCTGTTCCACTTCTGCTATGGCTAGGGAAAGCAGTGGAAGATGGGCCAAATCCTTGGGCCCCTGTACCCACGTGGGAGACCTGGAAGAAGCTCCTGGCTCCTGGCTTTGGATTGGCACAGCTTTGGACATTGTGGCCATCTGAGGGAGTGAACCAGCAGATTGAAGACCTCTCTCTCTGCCTCTCTGTTAACTCTTTTAAATAAACAAATAGATCTTAAAAAAAAAAAAAAAAAGGAAGTGGAGCAACAGGGACATGAACTGGTGCCCATATGGGATGCAAGCATCACAGGCAGTGGCTTCACCCACTATGTCACAACACCAACCCCATCAGTTATTTCTTTAAGGTGCCTCTGAAGGGATTTGTTCGGTACAGAGTAGAAGACATTGGATCCACCCCTCCTTTACATAACAGGGCATTTCTCTTGGGTTCAGGTATCCTACTAGGAAGCTGGTGTGCAAAGACAGGAAGACAGGAATCTACTCAAGCTCCATGACATTTCTCTTTGCTTTTGTTGCAGGTGAGGGCTTCCACAACTACCACCACTCCTTTCCCTACGACTACTCTGCCAGTGAGTATCGCTGGCACGTCAACTTCACCACATTCTTCATCGACTGCATGGCTGCCCTGGGGCTGGCTTATGACCGGAAGAGAGCATCCAAGGCCACCATCTTGGCCAGGATGAAAAGGACTGGAGATGGAAGCCACAAGAGTGGCTGAATTTTCATTTCCTCAGCTTTGTTTTCCAAAAGCCAACTTGGCAGAGTTTTGATGACCTGTTTATTAATTACTGGATAATGCTCCCAGGATCCTTAAGATGATGACCTTAACATATTCCAGTACAATATTCTTTCAAAATGCAAAAGTTTTAAAAGACGACAACTACACCATTTTTATGCTAAGCTTATACTCTTATGTCTCATCTTCTCTCTCTTCTATTTACATTATTCTTTACTTTGTTCCTGTCACCTTCCTTTCTCTTCTCCCTAATTGCTTCCCAGGAAGCAAATGGTCAGTCACTGGTTGGTGTCCACCTTTCAAAGTCTACAACCTTTCCAGAGTCTAAATGTAATGGTCTTTGCCCAAGTTCCTAATTTACTTGAGCTGTCTCAGCTTATATACAGGCAGCTAGAGCTAAAGATACAACAAAATCTCCTGCAAATTCCCATGTTAATTATCTTCAGTTGGGCTTTGCTAGATGGAATCAAAAAATAATGTTGTTGGACAGGAATTTCTGATTCAGGTAAATTTTCACCAGAGAAGTTAGCTCTCATGGCATGAGTGTAAGTAAGGATGGAGTCGGGTGGGAAACCAGGCAACAGGAAGGTTGTGCTATGATGAGACTCATAGATACCTAATTAGGGAGGGCTGAGGACCCTTCCACACAACATAGGACCTCTCCCTGTTGACTCTGAGTGGAGAGTGGCCATGAAGACTGGTTGTTCCCTTATCCAAGATGGCTACAGTCTTTAGAAAAATTTAAAATTTAGTAGGCACAGTGGAGTGAAGCATAAAGAGAAATGTATATATTTTTGCCTAGAACACGGAATTATTTTTTAAGGGTATTTTTCTCTGAAAGGAATGTTGGAATAACCATAAAGCGGGAAGAATTTGGTGGGTTGTCTGTGCTTCCTCCACCCCTGCCTCGCTTCTGGGCATGAGATGGAGAAGTTGATGATCAGGGTCTACAAGCAGCTCCTAAGACAACTTTCCAAAGGAAGGTTTCTGAAATCACATGGCCAGGGATCAGGAGATTACTATAAGTGAGTTATTGGATGTTGTGATGAAATAAGTTCAATGGTAGATCCATTCATTAGTATCAATTTCTCTTTGGAATGAGTAAAAACTAGAAGGCTGTTTTTCATTGTATTGGACACCTTCACTCATTCTTTACTCTGTTAATCCCTAACCTAAACTATAGCCCTTGCTAGGGAATGAGGTAGGAATCTATTACCCATGCCAATTCTTGATTCCAGGCTCTTGTCCATCCTGTTTTCCCTACTACTTCTGTCTCTTCCTTGACATCATCTCTGTGGCCAGGCAGCCTCCTTGCGTGTGTTCAGAGGCAGTGACAACTGCTGTCCAGGCAACTCCTCCTGCAGACACAATGCTTAGGGACCCCGGACCTCTGTTTCTCTTTAGCAAGAACAGCTGCTCCACTTTTCTGTGCCTCTAGAGGCCTTGTACCTCCTCTCTCTGCCACACTGATGGCTCTGGACAAGGCTGGCAAAGCCTCCCAGAACTATCCCTGGCTCTGAGAGGCTCGCTCTCAAGATACACAGCCAAGCCAAATGCTCAGGCTGTTCCAATGAACCTGCCATGAAGCCAAGGAGGGTTTGTGTCTGGTCAGAGCAGAGAGCACGTTGAGTGCCCCCTGTTTGCTCAGTCAGGTGGTCCCACTGAGCAGGGCTCCCAGCTGACAGAGCAATGCTTGTAGAAGGAGGAGGATGCCTAGTCCTTGCTAGGAAGCACAAGCAGCAAGGCCCAGTTCCCAAGTGCCTCATTTTCAAGGGAGACCCTGATCCTGGAGCAGGCTATGCTGCACAGCTTTGGCTGACACATGGGGGCAGAGATGCCATGAACTTTGTGGTGGAATCCAGTCCCTGTTCAGCAAATTAACCAGTATTCCCTATGACCCAGCCTAGGGCAGACAATAGTATAGAAGAGTCTGGACAAAAACACAACCTTAGTGTTTGAGATCCTTGGACTCCTGTCCTAGTCCCTTGGTCATCAATGCAGAAGCTAGGCTTTGCTCTATTAAGATTGAAAGTGTACCACACCACATGCTGTGTCCACTGTTAAGCCCCATGGTGGGGGGAGGAGAGCCTTTCTTCTTGGATTAATTTGATGGAGGCTACAGGGAACAGCCTGGATGAGGGGCATCCTGGTCTTCAGAGGTGTTCACCTCAGAAGAGAATCCAATGGAAGATCTCTGTCATTTGCTGACCTGTGTGCCTAATCCCGGAAAAAGTCAATGGGGTAGTTTAATTCTCCAGGTTATCAGATGCCTGCTTTATAATATTATAGTACATCAGAAAGTTCATGGAAAATGAATATTAGGGAAAATTATGCATGGATATCAATTTTTTGCACCAAAATAAAGTTACCCTTTTATTCCATTTCCCCTTGAACTTTTTGAAGTATCCTTGTATGTGAATAATGGAATCAACTTCCTCTTCTAATCATTGCAATGGAGCAGCTGTGTGCCATGATCCCACACAGGGCTGGATGGAGACCTCAGGCTCATGGATTGTGGGTACTTAGAACTGGGTGTGTCTGCTGAGTAAGGAACACTGTTGTCAAGATTCTAAAGCGCAATTCAAGCACACATTAATGAGAAACTCTCATCTGCCCAAGAGTCTGAATTTCTTACTATCCTATGTTGTGAATGTGCTGACAACCATTCCAGTGCCTTACATCTTTTCTAAAATATGCTGCTTATGACCTTGCCCTTACTCCTTTGTACCTGTCAGCCTACAAATGTGGCAGGTAGAGAAAGGGCCCTGACTGCAGGATGATCAGTGCAGTTATTCACAGAATTCCCTTCGGGTTCCATTGTGGAAATCATAGAGTTCTTTTCTTAAATGCTCACATTTGGTGGATGGTGGAACTAATTTGAATATATATGATTTATAACCTTTTTATATTAAAAGATGGTTTTAGCATCTAAAAAGGAAAACTTTCTCTTTTGCTTGATAGTACCCTGAATGTGTTCTGCATAAATTTAGCTCAGATGTGTCGGCATGGAAGAGAAGAAAGCAAGGTGGTGGCTGAGGCCAGGACCTCTCCCACTACCGTGCCACTGATTTCTCATTGACCCTGGGCAAATCATTTAACTATGCTCCTCAGCTTTCCTTCTGTTAAAATGGGCATAATAATGCTGACTCAACACAAAGAGCAGTTCTAATGCTTTGTGGCATGACTAATGCTGTATAAAGCATCGTGGGATCCCTCAGCAGAGGAATTCTCAAGTCTTGAATATTTTTATAGTAGTGTGTCCACTACGAACTTGATCGGCCCATGCATCCCAGATGCTATCACTAGTTTACAAGGTTCTCTCAAGAGGCCGAATGATTCCATTGGATAAATGGTAGCCAACTAGACAGAAAAATTCTGAGAATGCATCCTCATTGCCATGAAAACAAGTGCAGACACTTTTTCCTTGCTTGGATGGATCTTCCCCTCTTCAAGAGGGATAAGAGTTATTTGCGACCTAAGAATACTTTTGCAGAAACTTTTATTCTTAGCAACTCTGAGGCTAGTTGTACAGATCTGACACTGTGTTGGTTCACAATAAAAGGGAAATGAATCTGACTGTGCCATGTCTGGGAGTTTTGTGGCTGTGATTCAGTCTCCTGGGACCTACTTCTATGGCCCATAACCCTGTCTCTGTGCTGTGTCTTTAAGAGTAAAAAAGAAGTTGAAGCTAAGGGTTGACTCATACCCAGGAACCTGCCCTGCCCATCTGAGGGGTAACTTTAGGTTAAACTCCCTGGCAGCAGGAAATAAGGCTGCTGCCATTAGATCAAACAGTAACACCTGCTGGCACTTCAGCCTGGGGACAACCCGGTTGTTCATGTCACATGGTCCCATGGACCCACGATAGAGAACCTAGGATAGGAAAGGAGCAGCAGGAGCACTGCCCGGGAAATCCATTTCTGACCTTGCAACCTAGGCTGTGCAGCCTCATTCCGGTCTGAAATGTCCTCGCCTCCAGGCGTCAAACCGGCTCCCAGAGCATCCTGAGGCAACACAACAGGAAGAAAGGAAAAGGCGAAAGGGCTTCCTTTGTCTTTTAGCTTTTGCTACTTGCACAGTCCTGGTATGGGAAAGAGGAGGGCAGCCATTTTCCAGTTTGAAGATGCTCCATAATCCACAGGTGATACCTTGACCAATTCAGAGGCACCTGAGAGCTCCCCAGAATCAGCTCTGCCAGTTCACCTCCCTCTGATCACCTGTTGCCGTCATCATGGCCAAGAAGCCTGGCTCTGTCAGCCTGGGCCTCTCAGAACAGTTCTGACTATTCAAAGCCAAAACCTACCATGAGCTTCTCCAGACCTCAATGGCTTGAGTTTATGGTGAAATGTTCTTCGCTAGTAACTATCTGGCTTGCCACCTTGAGCACTTTTCCTTCTTTCTTTTGTGCAAAATGTTTAGACCAGGATATTTTTCAGGTGTTCTGTAACTGCACTGTTCCTGCAAGTCTCTGCATCCCATGAGCCGGCCTCTAGTGTGGAGCCTGTGGCCTCCCTGTGCTCTCTGCTTCCTCCTGCTTTCCTCCTGTTCCACACCTGCCTGTCCTCCCTCTGACTCAACACACCTCCAGTCTTCCCCCAGAGGGTCTGTACATTGCGTACTTGTTACTTCATCCTGGGTTGTTTTCTGATCCCTATCTGCAAAAGTTCCAAAGAGGAAAGGGGAGAGATCTTAGTGCCAGAAAAGAGCTGATCAATGTGGTCAGTAAAATTCAAGACGGAAGGAGGAACAAGTGATGAGCTGTCATGCAAAGATGAGATGTACAAAGCACACTCAAAGGGGGAAAGTTCTGAACAAATTTTGTATGTGAAGGGATAAAGAGGTTACCATCCCCTCCAGGAAAGAAAATAGCATGGAGGCAGGTGTTTGGTGCTGGCTGGGACACCCACATACCATATTGGAGTGCTGGGATTCAATCCTGATTTCACTCCAGACTCCAACTTACTGCCGATGTGCACTTGGGAGGCAGCAGGTGATGCCTCAAATAGCTGGGTCCTCACTACTTGCATGGGACAACTGTATTGGCCCCAGCTATTGTGCACATTTGGGGAGTTAACCAGAAGATGGGAACTTTCTCTCACTCTGCCTTTAAAAATACATAAATTTAAAAATATTTCTATGAAATGAGGAAATTGCACAAAGGATAAAAATAGCTTAAGATATTTAAAGAATAACATAGAAATAAAATCCTCAATGTCCAATGGCCACCTGTTTTCTTCTTCTCTAAGACAGGAACCAGGAAAGTCCCTAAAATATTTTTTTGTACCAAATAAGAAATGAGCCATCCAGCTTGGGAAGTAACAAGTAATATTCTTATTGGCAGATGTCACAACTTTCTATATACAAAACCCTTAAGAATCTACACAGGGGCAGGCGCTGTGGCACAGTAGGCTAAGCCTCTGCTTGTGGTGCCTGCATCCCATATGGGTGTTGGTTTGTGTCCCAGCTGCTCCTCTTCTGATCCAGCTCTCTGCTATGGACTGTGAAAGCAGTGGAAGATGGCCCAAGTCCTTGGGCCCCTGCACCTATGTGGGAGAACTGGAAAAGCACCTGGCTCCTGGCTTTGGATCAGCCAAGCTCTGGCCATCGTGGCCATTTGGGCAGTAAACCAGCGGATGGAAAGCTTTTCTCTTTGTCTCTCCCTCTCCTTGTCTGTAACTCTACTTCTCAGATAAATAAGCAAAATCTTTAAAGAAAAACAATCTACACAAACAAAGACACATACTCAGACTATTCAGCAAGGTTTCAAGATATGGGGGCCGGCGCCATGCTCATTTGCTTAATCCTCTGCCTGTGGCGCTGGCATCCCATATGGGCGCCGGTTGCAGTCCCAGCTGCTCCTCTTCCAGTCCAGGAAGGCAGTGGAGGATGGCCCTAGTGCTTGGGCCCTGCACCGGCATGGGAGACCAGGGGGAGGCACCTGGCTCCTGGCTTCGGATCGGCGCAGCGCAGGCTCTAGCAGCCATTTTCGGGGGTGGAAGGAAGACCTTTCTCTCTGTCTCTCTCTCTCTCTCACTGTCTAACTCTGCCTGTCAAAAAAAATATATATATATATGATTTCAACATACGGAAATCAAGGTTTCCCCATAATATAGGTACTGGTCACCTGAAAGTGGAATTTAAAAAAGGATTCCATTTATAGGGCATCAAAAAGAATAAAATAGGGGGCCACTGTTGTGATACAGCAGGTTAAGCCACTGCCTGAACACTGCATGCTATCTCAGAGTACCAATTCAAGTCCTGGTTGCTCCACTTCTGATCCATCTCTCTGTTAATGCACCTGGAAAGGCAGTGGATAATGGTTCAAGTACTTGGGTGCCAAATGGATTTCATGGCTCTTGGCTTCAGCCTGACCCAGCCCTGACTGTTGTGGCTATTTGGGGAGTGAACCAGTAGATGGAAGATATCTTTCTCTCTGTCTCTCCCTCCCCCTCTGTGTCACTCTGCCTATCAAGTAAATAAATATTTAAAAGTAAGAATAAATAGGATGAACTTTTATAAAAAAAAAAAGCATTGAAAACCAATATATTGAAACTACAAAATACTATGGAAAAGAATTATAGAACTCTGTAAATGTAAATAAATCCCATGTTCATGAGTTGGAAAACTTAACATTTTTAAGACAGTAATACTCAAATTGATTTTATAATTCAGTTGAATCGTCAAATTCCAGCTCTTTAAAAAAAAAGAGATTTGATGGGGCCAGCACTGTGGCATAGTGGGAAGGCCACTGCCTGCAGTGCTAGCATCCCATATGGGCGCTGGTTCGAGTCCCAGCTGCTCCTCTTCCAATCCAGCTCTCTGCTATGGCCTGGGAAAGCAGTGGAAGATGGCCCTGTCCTTGGCCCCTGCACCCATGTGGAAGACCCATAAGAAACTCCTGGCTCATGGCTTCAGATCAGCACAGCTCTGGCCATTGTGGCCTTCTGGGGAGTGAACCAGCGGATGGAAGACATCTCTCCCTCTCTGCCTCTCCTTCTCTCTCTGTGTAACTCTGACTTTCAAATAAATAAATAAATCTTAAAAAAAAAAAAAAGAGAGAGAGAGAGAGATTGAAAAGATGATCCTAAAATTTATAAGTTAGTTCAAGGCCCCAGAATAGCCAAAACAAACTTAAAAGAAAAAAGCACTAAGTCAGAGGACTCACTCTTTGTGATTTCAAAATTATTTCAAAGGGTCAGTAATCAAGACAGTGTGATACTGGCATAAATATAAACATAAGTCAATGGAACTGAATTTTAGAGAGTAGTTTACCCACACATTTATAGTGAATTCATTTTTTTTTTTAAAGATTTACTTATTTACTTTAAAGAGCTACAGAGAGAAGGAGAGATGGAAATCTTCCATCTGCTGGTTTACTCCT